AGAATATTATTTAACGCAATATTCAGAATCCACTACTTTCCAAGCACATGGAAGCTGGCTGAAATAATTATGCTGTCGAAACCAGACAAAAATATTCACGAACCACCCTCGTATAGACGTATCTCATTCCTGTCGAAAATGTTAGAAAAAATATTAGAATTAAAAAAATAATAAATAGAAAACTAATCTCTAATCATCAAGTTGGTTTTAGAGATAAGTATGTTACAATCGAACAAGTACACAGGCTTACCAACAAAATTATTCAGGCTCTTGAAGATAAAGAGTACATTACATGCCTATTCTTGGATGATCTTGCAGAAGAAGTATTTGACAAAGTCTGACATGAAGAACTCCTAAGAACTGTCAAAAGTCCCTTCCTTGACGCTTATTACCAGCTATTATATTCATACTTCACAAAGAGGACATTTTACATTAAAATAAAAAATTCTAGTGTATAACACATAAATGCAGAAGTGCCGCAAGGAAGTATTGGGATCTGTTCTCCACACTCTTTACACTGCAAATATTCCAACAACGTCCAGTAGTACAATATATGCATTCGCAATACTCACAGCACACGAAAACCAAGCCGACACAGTTCAAATCCTCCAAAATCACATAAAAAAGCTAGAAACATGGCTACTGAAGAAGAAAATAAAGGTTAACTACAATAAATGCAAACACATCACCTTTACACTACGAAGAGCAGAAATCCCAGAAATTACACTACATGGTAATCCTGTCCAGCAAACAAAAGTAGTCAAATATCTCAGATTACACCTAGATTCAAAACTAATCTGGAAACAACACTTGCACAAGAAAATAGAATAAATCCGAAGCAAAAGAAAAGAAATCTGAAAAGAAAATAAATCTAAATTCGCAATCCGTTTCCAGGATTTATGTACAGTCAAATTAGCTGAATCTCAGTGCAAAATAAGGATACTGTTCCAATTGATACCCTGCTCTGAGATGTTTACTCAATTGGAGAATTTAACCGTTCGGACGATAATTTTACGATACCAAACGTATAAAATACAACGAAAGAAAATGGTATAAAAATTAGATACAGGATTACATCGTGGTAGTGTCTCCGGTCGATTGCTATTGTCCGAAGACGGATGTTTGTACGTACATATGATAATACTTGTCCCCATTTCTATTGAGAGTTACATTTGTGTGTTCTGTTTATTCTAGACTAGAAATGGATAAACTAGCAGGCAGCAGGGCGCACGTGACCCTTGCCCTTACTTTTCTGATCACTAGCCCTATTCTCCCTTCACTGCGTCGCGGTCATCACACAATCGCATTAGGTATATATGTAAATTGTTTTCTTCACTGTAACTGCTAAAGTTAAAAGAAGATAGGGAAAGTAGTTTGTATTGCCCGCTGCAGAATAGAGTGAAAATTAATTTTCATAGTGGAGAAACCGGCAGTCATTGTGAATGAGTAGCTCCGTGGCGGAAAACAACCGCCTCTGATTCTAGACATTCGAGTTAAGCTCGGTGCAGACGAACAGTCTGAGGGCGGCGATGCTTTGGAAGAACAGAGACACAAAGTTCTTTTGTTTCATAAAAAGAAGGATGAAAGAATATTATATTTCTGTTTTTTCAAAAGAAAACGATGATTTGCCGCAAATTGCTCGTCTGTACAGGTTTAACGTTGTCTGCTAATTGCTTATTTTTTTATATATAATAATTTCATTATTATTTTTTATAATAATTTTATATATAATATATAATAAATTGAAGGATCTACCTTCCAAAAAAATGAATTCTCGAAGCCAAGATTTTATATCTTTAGAGTTTTACATCCTTCATAACGCCTTTCAAATTTCATTTCGATCGATGGCTATTCAAATTAAAAAAATATATGGTCAATATGACAATGGCCAATGGCCAATCAAAATAATTTTAAGAAGTAATTTAATTAAAAATTATTTTAAAAAATAATGAAGTATAAATTATTATATATTAAAAATGTGTACTAATATCAAAAAACACGGATAGAGCTCTTTCTGATATGTATATAATATACATAAATACATAATATAAAATGGAATAGTTTTAGATTTCTTGTATCAAAGGCTGGAGGCATAGACGAGGTATATGTATTTTTCGTCTATGCTTGGATATATACAATTAACAACACTGTAACAGATATCATTTTCATCAACCAACTTCTATCATTTTGTAGTTCTCCAATTTACCGTTGTTTAAGCGTAGAGTGCGCTAAAAAACCAGTGATATTTTTCCTAGTCGGTATTTCAGACCCTGAGACAGTTCCATTTAATGTCCGGTCTATCCTATTTTTAGTCAATGCTACTAGTGATGAGATAAAATAAAAAAATATGGACAGTGTTGCCAGACTTGTTTCGAGAATTCTTTATTGGATTGAACGTGTACTTCATCAATGAAGGAATATAACGATTAAAAACAGAGATTGACAAAAATTGAGATAAAAAATTTAGTGTATATTTTACTATTAAGATCTATTTAAAAGTATCAGAAAATATTGATTGAAAAATGTTATTTTTATGAACATAATTAGATATGACGTTTTTTTTATTTACAAATGTGTAAATTCACAGTCTGAATGAATTACCTTAATCGCGTAAACTCGATTTTATGAAAGATTAGACTAATCAATAAAATATTTCTACAAATATTGTGTGCTGTAAATTGGAATAAAGAAGCACATTGTGTGCTGTAAATTATTTCTTGCAAATTTTGTTTCGAAATTTTAAACGATACCATACGCATATTTTTTTTTTCATAGTACGAAGTTACTTCTTAAGATGAATTTACTTTGCAGTTGCATTTTCAATGGCCGAAATCATTTATTATAAACAGTTAATAAAAATGATACAAAGTACGAGTGACTTAATGATATATATTAGTGAAGGAATGATTAATAACAAGTTTATTAATTAAAATTTTATGAGTTTAAAATATTGCTCATTTTTCCTCCATTCTAGTTGTGAACTAGATTAACCACTCCTTCACTGATTTCGACGATCCCTAAATATTATTTAAAAACCGATACTCCGATTTTTTGCGTTAACAAAGTCCAATACACCCGTTAGAGGAAAAAACTGTTCGAAATATCTTCACAATACATTCAAAAATCATTGAAATCGGCAAATGAATAGTCAGACCATCCAACTGTCTATTTTATTGTGCGTACAAAAGAAAAGCTAGATAAAGGAACTCAGATAAGTTTCGGATATCTTGACGAAAGCGTAGTTGCTAAAACCTAAAAGTCTCACATGTTTGGTACATTTCTGTTACTGTTCTGTCCGTCAACTCGACGAAATGATTAACCTGAAATAGGCGAGTCAGACATAATTCATACAGTATATCATTGTAGAAGGACAGCACTTTTAAATTTACTGTGACGACAATAACTTGTAAAATTTAGGTAAGGTATCAATGTCAATTCAAGGTCATGTTTTTAACATATCTGAACGTACTTTTTTACCAATTATACGATGTAATAAAAAATATATATATATAGTTGTATGGAGAAAAAACATCAATGACCTTAAAAAGTCTTTGAAAAACATGACTTTCAAAAAATAAATTCTTGCCAGTTATAGATCTTTCGATACTATTCACGATAAGCAAAAAATATTTTTTATATAATCACAATTCGAAAAGATATTTAGGTGGCCTCGCTTAAATGGACCATCCTGTATAATATAAATTTTCAATATATATGTGTGAAGAAGATAATACATATGATATATATGTTCTTATTCATTTTTATGAAAAAAAAAAATATACATATATGTATTATGTCGCTCAGATATTGGATCGGAATTTCAGGCACATTTTTCCACAGTAATAAAAATATATCTTTTTTTCAATTCAAAAAAATGATAAACGTACATTGCTTCTTCAATCTTGCCCGACTGTTTCGAGGAAAAAACTGAAATAGGCAAAATTCGAAAGTTATTAAAATACATATTTATTGATCATATAACATTATTATTTATTATTTATTATTAAATAAAAACTGTTTCAGATTATCCCCGCATATTAATAAACATTTCAGAATCCGATCGGATCAAGTAATTTTGGTTGAACTCAGTTATCCGAGACATCAGAACAATAATGCAACCTGTCTATTTCGCTAATTTAACCATTTCGATGTATTATTTTAATAGAACAGTGATAGAAATGCGACAATACGTTAAATTTTTAGGATACGTATACGTTTTGGCAACTATGCTTTCATTAGGAAATTCTATATCTCCTGTGTCCCTCTAACTTGCATTTTACTTATTCTACATGATGGTAAAAACAAAAGGAATAAGTCAAGGAAAATGAGAAGTATACATATTTTGAATTCGTATAAAATCTCAATAAAACATGCTATAATATATAATTAAATCTTCACTCATACTCTATATCAATTTTATTAACTCGCAAGAATGCTAGGTTATTTTGACCTTACTGTTGTGAGCGTCCGATACAAAAAACGTAAAAAGAAATAAGAAATTTGATCTCATTTCACAACGTGTAGTCTACTAGCTATTCAAGCTTATTTGACATTATAATAATTCACTAATTCATGGCAATTAACTTTCTAACAATTTACAATAAATGAACTCGTTTCAATAATCTATCATACTATAAAAAAACAAATATTTATTTATCATTTAAAAAAATGAATTTAATTTTAAAAATTCACTAAACGACTTACAAAATGTCCTTCTTTACAATATCTCTGTAAAAATATTTTTTGATTGAATTCTTTACAAAATCAAATTTGATGGATAAAAAATAGAATCATAATATAAGGTATAAAAATGAAAATAATTCAATTCATTCAGACTAAAATCTGTACACAGTAAGTATAAAACGTCATATCTAATTTATGTTTAATTGTTATTAATAAAAATATATTTTAATTAATTTTTTCTGTATCTACTTTTTCAATAGATGTAAATAATAATAGATTAAATATATAATAAAAATTATGATAGAAATTTTTCGTTCGAATTTTTATCAATTGCTACTTAAAATAACCTATTCTTTTATTGACGAAATGTCACCACGTTTAATTCAATAAATAATTCTCAGTGCAGATGTGGTAACATTGTTCATATTTTTCGATTTTAATTCTCATTACTAGTAGCGCTGCAGTGCAAAACTTGCCTAAATCGGTAGGGCAGAATGCGACGCGAAATGGAGCCCTCCACGAGCGTGTGACAAAAAAATGTATTGCATGTTAGGTCAATCCATATAGCTCATCTGTGGTGCTACTGAGCAGCCTTGTCGATTGGCGTATAGCGTATGCCAATGCAATGAAGACGCACCTTAACAATACATATATTATTTGGAATCAAATAGAATTCCAAACCCGAATTTTGTTCTTCTTTATTTTCTTCTTCTTTGTTTTCGTATCGTTTCTACCTTTATCCCTTTTTTTCATAGTTCTCCTTTCGTCTCTCCTTTTTCTTCTTCATTTCCTTCAAATCTTTCTTAACGACCAAAGCTCATTTCTGCTCTTTTTTTACGAGGTTAAGGTTAAATATAAACATGGATGGAACAAGTCACTCACCTCACGGGTGCATTTCAGCGTAATGCGGCAATGCGGCTGGATGACATTTTCTAAAATTATATGGAAAAAGAGAATTAGTTAAAGAAAATTTCAAATGATGCTCATATATTTTGAGTAATATTTTATTTCTACAATCGAGTAATATTTTATTTTTAGCCATTTTTAATCGTGCACGATATAAACTAAAAACAGAAAGTATACATATAGGAAGATCCATAGCTTCAACTTTTACAAATATTTTACTCACCTTTCTTTTTATCCTTCTCCTTTTTGTCGAGCACATCCTTATCGCCACTACAAAAATAACAAACCGTTAATATTACTATTCTCTGTAGTAAAATTACTTAACAAATAGTGAATGCAATTCTTGCGAATATATACAAGTTTGTAACAGTCTATCGATTTCGATAAATCAATCTGTTTAAATATCGCATTATTTAAATATCTTGTAAATTCATTAGCCTATAGATCAAAAGAAAAATGTAAATTTATGTATATACGCACTTTATGCAATTATGCATTTATTAAACTTTAGAAATAGGATAATTGTTTTTCAAAATTAATTAAAACTTGACGTAAAGTTTGTTTCATCAGTTTAACATTTTTCCATTTGATTGATCTTGAACACAATACAATGTGACACGCATTTACTTTAACATTATATGTAAGACATTTACATATATGTAGTAGTAGCGAAAACGGACATAAATGTCTGTAAAACGAACTTTCCATTCTCAACAATTTTACTAAAACCATTATGTAACAGAAAAGACTAAAATTCGAACAATTTTTTTTTAGACAAAATGAGTAAGTTCGGTGAAATAATCAAATTGTCGAATCACGACAATATATGATTATCGAGGAAGACCTTGCAGTAATATGTTTGCACATCGCGGAGGGAGAAATCTCGCGCCAATAATCCATAACATTATATAACTATCGGTAATACTTCATTTGTGCGTAAAACGAATCGTGTAATAGATAAGCAAATACGATGCAATAAATTTTAAATGCAACTTGCACTTGCGTGTTGTGTGACAAAAATTTAAATCTCGCTATTCCATGTAGATATATATGTCCGTATATATTTAATCCGTTTTCTTGGAAAAATTTATATTTTATCTGAATTAAAATTCGTACATTAGACTGTTATCATGTAAACGAATTATATGCTATACACGTGTGAAATGAAAAATATACGAAGCTATAGAAAATTGAAGATGAAATAATTTATATCGGTTTACATAAATTTTCTGCCATCCTTTAATTTTTAATTATATTTCCCACGGCGATTTTCAATTTTCAACTTTTAACGAACTGTTCGTCAAAAAGAACATTGTGACGTGAAAGATTTGTAAAATTGATACAGATCACATTAAGTTAGATCACGACCTACTTTAGGCAAGTATAACATTATGATTGAACAGTACGAATAACAGTACAATTTTATCGACATTTCATTTCTGCAATTTTGGCAGTTCCTTTATCCAAAGATAATATACTTAACTGCTAACTATTATTTTGGTATATTAAATAAAGCTCGCGAAACAAGTAATAATTTCTCAGTGATGCCTTGCACTCTACTTCTTTTTTTGTAAAGAAAGTATGACTGTGTACGACACTTTTTCTCTCTCGTTCTTTGTTATATGCTTTGATATACGTAAGCTTTCGTGGTTTTGCTTACCAGTTCCAAAAAGGAACATGAGAACGAGAATATGTCCAAAGTCATTTTATATGTACCGAAGTAGCAAGCTAAAAGAGAAGACGTTCAGAGTATATACTATACGGCATACACACGGTCACACGTACACGCACATGCGCATTTTTACATACAATGAATAAGAAATACAGTACAATCAAGCATCTACTATTAAATAAAAAGTTCAATATTTTATTGTTGTAAGAACTTAACGAGATATAACACAAAAATTCGTGTTATTTTAGATTAAATCTAGAATGTACGAACAATGCAGTGATGTTATTTTTGAGACTATATAGTGATACAAATTGAATAAGGAAGTTAGAAACTTCTCTTCTTCGGTTTTGTACTTACTCGAGATTATATTTTGTTATGTTATACTCGATATTATATTATATCAATGAATATATTTAATATAAATCAATGAAAATATAATTGACGAAAATAATGTATATTAAACAGAAATCAATCGTATCGTGAAAAAAATGTTTAAAGGTCCGTCGTTAGGATCTGTAACTTCATAATTAGAAAAAATGCATACGATAGCTAAGATTCAATGTGACATTCACAGAAAATGCAAAAATCAATAAAAATTCGATTTCCACATTGACATTGGTCCTTCATTTTGCATCAATTTCGTTTACATTAACCTAATGTTGGTGTCTATTTAATGGTAAATGAAACGCACCGTAGTCAAGTTCGCAACAGTAAACAAACTGGAAAGTGTCATTCGATCGATGTTAACAGCTGTGAGACAGATGGAATATTCGAACGATTTGGTTACGTCTGTCTGGTATTATATGAAAACAAAAAACACATTCTCAGCGGAAATTAAAAAGAAAGGGAAAGTTGACGATGGCAATACTAACCGAAGTAAAAGAGAAAGTGTTTTATTGTTGGCGCATTCGAGGATTTTCTTCTTTTCCCAACCTTCGACAGTTTTTACCCATTCTTCACCAGGACTGCGCCAATCTTTTGATATGAATGGCATCGTTCACAAAGTAATTGCACGAGATATTTGCTTTGCTTACGTACGTAAACCACCAGTAATCTTCGGTATTAACAATAAAAAAAATATTAAGGAACGCACCTCACCGAACTACGAACGCTCAATGTTTGCTTACTAGACAGTTCGGTCTGTTCGGTTTATTTCACGGTTGCGATCGACCGCGCATGGCTTTGTTTTACTGACGTCACTTTAGTATCAGCTGTGCAACTGACGAATCGCTGCACTTTGAACACATATTCCGCCATCTTAAAATTTATATATTACGCATGCGCGGTTAAACTTATTTTAAAAAATGTGACACTTAAAAGCGAAATAAATTCACTTTGGTCTTTAATCTCGATCGATTTGTTTTTTCGTTTTATTTTCTGCCTCTTCATTATTTTTATTTATTTTTATCAATTAGAAAGAATTCATCGATTAGTTTTTTTATTAGTCATCTGCAAAAGTATAATTTTACAAACGCGTACTATAACGTATATATTTAACAAGGAAGTTATATACAATTACACTTCAATCATCTTTATATTATGTTTAAATCTTTTACTTGTTCATCTATTTCGGAAATAATATTTACGGATACTGATTCTTCTTCCTCTTCTTCCGTTTCCGAATCGGTTGGTGGAAAATCTGCAACAGCTGTTAAATAATTTATTGATAATAGATGATACGATGTTTACACATGTTAATAATCAAGAAGATTGCAAGAATTACCACGTCTATTTAATTTTTCTTTTCTCGCCTCTATGAGAAATTTTTCTTGAGTAGATATAATTTCCTCTGCGTTGGTACAAAGTGAATATTTTTTTAATAGCTCGCCGTTCAATTCCAAGAATGAGTGACCCCAGGAAAATTTTCCAAGATAAAATTTTGCTTTTTCAACAAAACCTGTTATAATCAATGTAGCAGCTATAGCTTCTACACAACTTAATTGACACGATTTGCCATAATTTATTGGATTTGCAGCAACTAGAAACGGTAAAAGACGAGGATTGGGAGTTCTCATTCTATTAAATGGAGTATCATCCAAACGTGCCCAGCTGCAATCAACGACTGCACAACCATAATCTTGTATGATATCACGATCTGTGGGGCTCACACACTACAATATTTCATTTGAACTATTAAATCATGATTTATCTGCTACATCCAAAGAGGCGTCCCATACCTTTTGACCAACCGGAGTAAGAACTAATCCTGAGAATCGAGTACCTAACCTTAATATTTTTATCAAGCCATGTCTAACCAATTTTTTGCCGGAACACTTTTTAGGATCACAATGCTCGAGATCCCACATAGCGACAGGGAAAGGGAGAGGCCCATCTTCTTTCTCTTCTTTATCTGAAAATTAAAACATTTGAATCAATTTCGAAGTTTCGTTTCGAAATCTTTGCAACATAACCAAACATTTTATTCTAACCTGATAATTCATCCTCATTGTCCGATTTATCTCTTTCCTGGCGATATTTCTCTTCTTTTCCAACAATATGTCGCGGCCGCCTCGTCAATATTCTCTTTCTATTTTTCTTTCCGTAAGACGACATTTATACAACTTCAAAATATTTCGTAATACGAGACACATAAATATAAATGTGCATCAAACTGACTTTTTCAATTCAAAAGTTAGTTGTTGTCAACTTAATGTGTATGTTCAAACGTTACTAACAATTATATACATTGCATTACTTACTGTACATTTTGTATTGCATAAAAATAATTGTTATAACATAATATTATGTCATTATCATATGAACTTTTCAACGACTACTCAGCGACTCTTTTATCTGACACGTACAAGCACTTACATTTCTTTCATAACATTGCTTACTTCATTTATTAATCTATTTATATGAAGTTTACCAATGACTATAAATAATTATATTAAATTTATTTACAGTATAATGTTATTGTAATAAAAATATAAAAGTTTAATATGTATAATAATTAATTATATTCATATGCTAAATTTTTTAAAAATGCCACTGCATTAGACGGCCCTGAAATATTGTTAGAGTGGTTAACAAGTGGCTGTTCTGTTCTTAATCGCTCCGCGGAACACAAATTGTTCAGTGAATAAAGATTCTTCAAACATGTTTATAAACACGATTTGATTCGTACAGAAATGTTTCCTTTATTCTTATATTGTTCTTAAATCTAATTTAAGGTAAGCATTGGTTTATATTATTTTATATCTATGGTTTTATACTTCGTCGTATACGTATTACTAAATTATTATTTCGTAATCGTATGTAAAAACAATGACTGTTTAATGCGTATTTGTGCAATCGAATGTTTCCAGTTTCCATTTAACGTTGATATTATTTATATTATTTGCGCTGCTTAAGGATATGGACTCAGGTATATTTTATTAAGGAAAACACATCGTTTGTTATTTTATAACATGTTCGTGTGGATATACGCTGTATTACAATGTCTAAATATTTAAACTATTATTAATATTAGATTTATTTAAATTCTTTAAAAAAAATTATTTAAAATATTTATTAACTAACATATAGAGTTTTTATAGATTTATAACAAATTTTTTTGCATTTTGTAGCAATTTGTATTAATTTATAAATCGCAGTTGAATCTGTCATAATTTATTTTAAATGCTATATTATCCTTTATTAATTATTATGCCCGTAATAATTTAATAATTTTATTATGTATCTGTATTTTATAAGAAAACACAAGGAAAGAAACAATTATAAAGGTAACGGATTGGTTACGTGGAATTTGGGAGATGAGACGTCAAACTGGACCTGTTCAGCAATGGATAGATTCAATACCATCACCTATAAAGTCCAATTTTTCAATGAAAAATGAAAATCAAGGAGAATCAAGTAAAAAACCTAATATTTCATTGGCCTCAACAGAACCTAAGGACATTCCATATTCTATAAGAACAAAAGAACAACTAACTATGACGATGTCTGCACCTATTAATGTTCCTAACACAACATCAAATAATACAATAGGACCTACTTTACCTAGGTATATAGAAAAAAGATATATAATAAGTTTATACATAAAATGTATAATATATAATTACATTTTTATATTTCATACAGTTCATTGCCCCATAAGTTAGTTCGAGATCTGAGCCTACAATCTGATAGTAGTCACTGTAGTAGTGTAGAAAGTTTATTAGAATTAAGAAAAGCAGATCCAGAGGCAATTTTGCTGGGTCTTGGATTTGGTGGTTGCTCAAGCAGTCCACAAGAGAATGGTTCCTTTTCTCGTATACCAAAAAGATTTCTGCAGCCATCAAAATTAAAAGGCATAGCTATTAATGATTTTATGAAGCAGCAACAAGAAACTAGTGAATCTTTTGATTCTGTATCGTTAGGATATAGAGGTTTGACAGGTGAGATATTTATCAAAAACTGATACTTAAAAAAAAACATGCGGTGGAATTGAGGAGAAAAAATTATAATTTAAAAGTTGTTACACTTAATGTGGGACAACTAAAATAAATTTTATATAAAATTATTAATTAACTTAAAAATAAATTTGTGTTACATAAATAGTAATGTTATAGGAAGTGATGACACATTATCTGTGTCTAGACTTTATCCACATCGCAGACATTCTGGACCAATTAATTTTGTAAGTTTTGTGGCAGTTAGGTCTTTTCCAATTTTTTTTAATCTTAAAACAATTTTTATTTAAAAAATTAAAATTTTAACTTTTAATACAAAAAAAATATTCGGTTTGATTATTTTTTTCATGTGTTTAATGCTTATTTTTGCCTATTTAATGCGTATTTAATTATTTTTTTCAAGAATGTTTGTTTTGATCATGGAAAACAAGGAAACAGAATGTGCATGAAAAAGTTATGTTGCTATTATGAAAATTTTTAATGTCTAAAATAAGTATGTCATTACTTTAGTAGTATAAATATGACTATTTACTTGAATTAGACATTAAAATATGACATTTTAATTATCAATCATTTAAATTCGTAATATATTTAAAAAAAATAAAGTTGCATAGTTTTTATAATTTGCGTACTGTGTTGTGTTTTCATAAATTGTCATTGCTTCTTATTTACAGAAAATTTTAATATTATACTATAGTTATCTATTTACGTTAGCATACAGTGACAATATTACTAAACATCAAATCATTGTCCTTGTGTGATAGGCTCACCGTATGTAGCGCCATCGGAAATTGTACAAAAGATTATGCAACGTTTACGAGAACACGAAAATCATGAACATGATCCACATGCGGTGTACAATTCGTACGAACAATACAATCCATTATATTGCGATGGTACATTTTCTGTATTATCTCCTGATAATAGACAATTTTTGGAACGACCACGTTCGAAAAGTCCTGATATGCGTAATAAACGTATGATTATTGGTAAGTAAAATTTTTTTTATCTTTTTTATTAAACATATTGTATTTTGCAAGTATACATATTGGAAAATATAGTATCGAACATCAAATATTTTCAGGGCAAAAGTCATTTGCATTTGGTCATGATGGTGATCTAATCGAAATCAATCCTAACGCAAAAAGATCATTTGAAAGTATTCCAAATAATGATTTCAATGTTGTAGAAAATTCAAAACTATCTAATGATTTAGGTGATAATAATAAAATATTTAAACAAACAGCTGTTCAAGAAGTAGAAAAAATATTACTAAAACGATTATCTTCTGATGATGGTACAGAATTTAATGACATTGATGTTAATTTATCAATACAAATGTTCGAAGACTGCAAGGACGCGCAAAATGAATTAAATAAAAATGTTAAGAGATGCAATAAAGACATTTCTTCAAATATAATTTCAGCAAATATATCCGATATTCGAAGAGCTAGTGATGGATTTTATGATATGAAAGATAGAAAAATATCGGTGATAAATAAACGAAGATACAGCGATGGTTTTATGCAAACTATTGATCGTATTGACGACACTGCACTTGCTCGAAGAAGGAAAACTTTGAAGCGACAGACTACAATAAACGATACCGATGCGGCAAACTATTTAAATTTCTGTAAGTCCGATATGCCGCAATGCAAGGGATTGGAATATAATTTGAATGAAAATTTTTGTGATATTTATAAGCGAAAAAACATTTCTACAAAATCAATTCGAAATATTGATAAAAAAACGGAATTTAAAAATGAAACTAAAAAGTTTGATGTGTACAAAAAGTGTGTACAAAAATTATCTGAAAACACACATAGATCAGAGGACAACAATTTAAATAAAAAAAAAGAATGTAACAAGGAAAAAAATGAATACATTGATGAAATCCAGCTTGGAGAACAAGTGTGCATAGATAAAGAGGAAACAAACTGTTGCTGTTGTTCTGGTACTAAAAAATATTGGAAAAAAATGGAGAAAATTATTCAAGAAAACAAAAATTTGACAAAGAGTAGAAAAGAAATGGTAGAAATTCAAGAAATGTTAAGTAGTGTGTTATCTGTACGGTTGGAACCTGGTTTTTGACTTAATCTGGTTTATAGGTTTATGAAAACATGTTTCATCAAATATGATATTAAGATATTTACTTAATTTTTATATATTTTCAGACATATTCCGCGTATTTTAAATAATTACTAATTTTGGAAAATACTATACACTTAAAATGATTCATAATATTACAAAAGGTGACAAGTACCATAAAAGATATCAATATAGCAAGAATGTATTTTTGCTTATAGCAGTTACATCTTGTATTCTTTTTAGTTTCGAATGTAAATATTGTTTCATAACTTAAAATTTTTATTTCTTAGTAAATATGAATAAAATATTAATTTTTGTTATTTCATATATTTACAAATAATATATATGGTTAGTTCTATTATCATGAAATAATTTTAGTGTTTTGTTATATTTAAAAATTATTGCTATTATATATTTTACTAATATATATTTTGTTATTATTCTATGTTTAAAACATATTATAAATTTACTTTATTATGAATCATTTTATTTTTATTTAATCATATATAATATATAATATATGTATACATAAATATGATTGAAATGATTTTTATAACTCCATTTTATATTTGATTAAATTTTAAAATTGTACCAGTGGCAAACATATTAAATATTTTTAGTGAACAGAAAAAAATATGAAATATAAAATTCTATATATTTTCATATTAATAATTCAAACATATTATAAAAAGAGTTATAATGGTGATGATGATGATAACGATAATAGCAGTAATAACATTTGTAGTAATATTGATAATAAGAATAATTTAAAATTCATTTCTTTAAATATCAAACACATTTTTTCAAGTGTATAATTAAATTTTAAAATAATTTATAACTTATCAAAAGAATTAGGATTATGCAAATATTTGAGAAAAAGAAAATAAAAAATGAAAATAATTTTGCTTTGCTTTATTATAAGAAATAAATTGCTTATTATAAGCATTTGCTTTATTAAAATTTATAATTTTGTAAGCATTTGCTTTATTAAAATTTATAAATTTATAATTTTCTCATATTTGAATGAATATCTTTTTTTAAGAACATACAGAGTGTCCCAATAACTTTGTCCACTTTAAATATCTTCATTGTTTTTGAAGATATGAAAAAATTTTATTAATTGAAGTTATTGAAACAGAGAGAATAACACATTCGTAATATTATAGTAATGATTTTTTTGTAGTGTAGGAATTTCGTAGATTTTAAGGTTACCTCCACTTTTTTAAATTGAATATGTTTTTCTATTCAATCAATGTAGCTTGACATTCTCTGTAAAAAAAATATTAACTTATGTATGTTGAAAAATTATTAATTTCTAAGATATTTTATCATTAAATTTTTGTAAAATTTATATACAAAACGAAGTACGTTTATGTTCGTGTCATTGTCTTTCATGTATAGTTTTTATAAAATTAAAATTAAAATATCTCCCAAATTATTTATTTTTCAACATACACAGGTTAATATTTTTTTACAGAAAATGTCAGATTGCATCGATCAATGGAAAAACATAATTTCATTTAAACAACTGGAGATGATTTTGAAGTCAACAAAATTTTTCTACCTATAAAAAAAATCATTACAGGCCTCTCTGTACTTAATAACTTTCATTAACAAAAATTTTTTCATATTTCCAAAAACAACGGGAAATTTAAAATGAATAAAATTATTGGAATGTCCTGTACATTCAAAAGAGACAAACTCCTTTTTGAAATCTGTTTATAATAGGAAAAATCATTACGTATAATTATTTTTAGAGTTATAATTTTATAAATTCATTAATTGTCTTTAATGCTCAAGTATTATATGTATTTTTGTTATTGTGAACTAAATTTTGTTGGGGTCTTTTGCTAATATCAATTACATTTCAACACATAAGTCTTTGTAATCAAGTTAGGCAAAATTACAAAAATTATATTTATGTCTTATTAATCAAAATATTTAAAGTACAAATTAAAATGGAAGTTACAACAGAACTTATTTATATACGTGTGTATATATAAATAATATGATATATTATATATATATATACATACACACACACACACACACACATTTTTTCTTTGTCTAATGTATCATTTAATGATTTTAAATTTATTAAATTCATAATGGAAATTGTATTCCATACTATGCACCTACATTCCAATGAATCTGCATATGCATACAAATTATACAAACAGAGTAGGAGCTTTGTAGAAAATATGAAATGTACAAATAATATAGGAATATTGAATAAATATTTGATACGATTATTTTCTTTATCTCTTTCTGTCTTCTCTCACCCCTTCCTTCTTCTCTTTCCTTCTTTCTTGCTTACCCTTTTTTTCTTTGTTTTATGCAAGTAAAACACAATTTTTATTTATAAAGCTAGATCGAACATAACATACTACTGAACATGATTAATTTCTTATTCACACCGTTGTTACTAACATAAAATCATTGTACATAATATTTATAGCCATGAAATCTTTGAAATCTAAATACAAAATTTAAAGTAATTAAAAACAATGTTATTAATATGATTTTCCATGAATTTATACGACAATAGGAACACAAGACCACAACGGTAACTGACACTGTGATTTATTTTCTATATCTAAGGTTAATATTTCAAGGACTAAACATAACACGGAATCTGGTTATTGAAAGTGTTCTTATAACTGGACATCAAATTGTTTAAAGTAATAGAGGATTGAATGAATTTTGTGATTAAAATTACACGAAAATTTGCATATCAAGATTATTACCAATACAGTAGTATTTTAAAATTAACATGTAGTTTAAATAATTAATTTTAGATTTATATTAAATTTACAAAACACAAAATATGAGTGGATAACGTACATTTAACGGAAATAAATTTTTAATGTCACAAACTTTTAGATAGCTTAATTGAAATATACACAAATATGTTGTAGAATTATTAATTATACATAAAACTACTCTTAGTAAAGAACTGAGGTCCATGGTCCACTCAATCTTATTTTTAAACATGAATCTGCTAGAATATTATTTTGTAAACTGCATGTATTTACGTAATATGTCTGTGTAATGTTGACGTGTACCTGTGATTGTAGATGTATTCTTCCTTAGCATATCTTAAAATGTATATAAACAAATATGATCAAACATGATCTATATTTAATCTTCTTTTTCTTCTCTGAAAAAATAAGAAATAAAAGACCAATTACTTCTCTGCATTATTCTATGATTATAATGAAACTATTACATGGTAATACAAAAAGGAGCAGAAGGAAAAAGCATACTTTACAACTTCTTGTTGATGCTGATCGAGATGAAGTTCAACAATAGTTTCTGTTCTACTTTGCACTTTGAAGGTAACTTGTGCTGCTAAGTACTTATCTTTGTTATTTGCTGACCATCCAGAATACTGTAAAATATAATACTTATTAAAAACAGAATAAAAAGAGATCACATTGATTGGAATTAAATATTATATTAAAAAACTTACTGTCGATGTGCTTTTATATAATGTTTTTCCATCTTCTTTGAAAGGTAAAAACTTTTGAAGTAATGCTTTCCCATCTATCCTCCATAATGTTGGATCTGTGTTTCCACCAATGTCAGCTTTTGCAACAACAAATGCACCAGACTAAAATAACCAATACAAATGATATTATGTTCTTGTTATTTAGAATAAACCAAACGTATAGAATTTTATGAACTAAATAACTAACAGTAAAATCTTTTGGTGTTTCTCCTGATGATTCATTGAAGCTGTTATCATCAGAATCTTCTTCATCCTCGTCTTCCTTTTCATCGTCTTCTTTTTTAGACCGCCTTTTTCTTTTAGGTTTCTTTCCTGTATCTGAATCAGATTCATCGTCCTCTTCATCATCGTCGTCTTCATCCTCCTCTTCTTCTTCATCTTCTTCTTCTTCTGAGTGTTGTCGTTTTTTAGCAACTTCCCTTTGTGGCCTCTTTTTAGCACCGCTCTAAATATTGAAATTAATAATCGATCAAAATGTTACTTTATTGAATGTCTATTTACACTAACAGAACTGAGATAAAAAATAATGTATTTTAACAACAATATTTCATTTTACATCATAAGAGTAAGGCTAGATAGAAAAATTACAGATGTCACAAAGTTTCATTGTTTTGAAAAATGTATAGTTCAGCGCCATTAACCGGTCAACAATAATTTGTCTTAGTATTTACAAGAATAGTTGATTTTATTAATAATAAGAATTAGGATTTAATTATGTTTCTTGTTTATAACAAGGATTAAGAATCATTTTATGATAAAATGCATTTTTCATGAGACATTTGATTAGCAATAACATTTAATAGAATAAAATATATGTCGTGTTTGACACAGAAACGATGCATCAACGATGTGGTCTCTCTTTTTATCTATTTGGGTGGATTTATCGATTAAAAGATCATTTATTCTGACAATAATGGAAGGCACGAAATTAAGAGAACGGTGCAAGCATCGGAGGTAACAAGTTGAATATAATTTAGAAACATTCGTGTTTTCTCGTTCTTACTCAAATGAAAAACAATATATCTGAGTAAGAACAACCAGCCGATTGACAGACGTTTATTTACGAACGACTATGTATATATAAAAATTCCAACTAATAAATCAATAGAAAACGAGAAAATAAAAGCAAGAAACCGAAGTTAATTTAAAAAAATCGGGAAAACTTATTTAAGAATAGCAGTAGAAGCATTAGTAGCGTGGGCTTACTTCAGCTCCGGCTTCAGGAGTCCACTCTTCTTCAGAGGCTCCTTCCACTTCTTCTGGATCATCTGCAGAATATTCATCCTCGTCTGATACGTCCTTGGTTTTTTTCATGTTGCTTTTTCGTGAAATGTTTGCGATCTTTTTCCCGAGGGATTCACCGAACAAGAGAAAAACTCGAGACCACGCAAGCCAGACCAATTACATGCACGACTGTCGCAAACAATATGGCGGTATATAACAGTAGGAACCGGTTCTCACGCATATACTCTTGCGCAGCCTGGAAACGACGTGTGCTTTGCTATTTCCTGCGCGTCTAGAAAACCGCGGGATATAGAATTTTTCAAAGAGTGCATGTAAATTGTTTACAAAATGTTCGCATCGTACAGTAAATTACAGTAATGCAATGAATTAGCATTGCGAAAGAAGGAAAAGAAAATAAGAGAACATAAGTAAAAGAAAGGAGAACAAGAAACAGGTGGACAGAATGAGTAAAATGACTTAAGAACGATAATATATATTTCGTAGCGATTTGAAAACACGCCTTAGTTGTGTAAGTAATCAATTTAGTTATAATATAATCAGGTAATTAGTTATTTTTAACGCGTATGCCACTTATCTTTGAATAGCTTGTATTGTGTGAATTCGTCTGAATTTAAAATATTTTTCGAGTCGGATCGATACAAGAGTTAGCGCATGCGTTAATATTTCAGAGATTAGGACGCTCCCTTTGATATTTACGGTGAGAAGATCGCAATGTACAGAGGGGATAAACGATTGTAGAAAGAAGGTAAAGATGTTTGAGTTATATGGTATGAACAAAGGAGGTATGGTTTATCGGTCTCCGCCACCAAGGAGAAAAGAAGTTGACATATTAGAGGTAATTCGGTAAAATTGCCTAAATTTAGTTGCTTAGTTACTAGTTAAAGATCATTATGTTTATTAATGACAATGTTTAAATCTAGTTGATATATTTGTGTATAGGATTTTGTAATGTATTTTTTTATGTGTATAATAAGTGTCATAGATTGGGTCGTTGATCAAATTTTACTGGTATAACGATGAACTATTATGGTTGTCTATTTTTAACACGTAAAGTGGTAATTGTTTACAATTGTTCATTTTGCAGACTTGTTTGCAACTATCGTCTCCTGAGTTGATGAGAAAATTGCCAAACGGTGACGCAGTACACCATACAAAGGACTCAGTTGTTTCCACTTCCTTCAATAAAAATAAAGATCTACCAAGGGAAAGCAGTAAGTCTTAACGTTTATAATTCGTTGTATGTTCTTAATATAAGTGATTATACATAAATAGTGTAACTTCTGCATATACAGTTTATTGTAAGAACAGAAACGAAATTTTCACGGTTGAAATGAAATGTAATTTAAAAAATAATTAGAAGAGATCATGTTCATTGTAACACAGACGAGATATACCCATATATCTCATTTGTGGTTGTAATTTTTGCGAATATCTTGAAAACTGTTCATTTCCATGTCAAAAATGTCTTTAATTTTCGACAGTTTACTCCCAAAATGAAAAATTTGGCTTCCCAGATATCATATTATAGTGCAGCTATGGCACTATAATATTCTAGTTTCATTTCTAATTTTACACGTTAATGAGCTTATCAAACGCCGCGTAACTTCTTTAACAAAGAAACAAAGATAGAACAGAACATAAAGGCGATTAATCTTCAAAAAGAAGAATTTTACAGAGTTCGGAATTGGATATGCTTTTCATTTTCACATAGATGGTATTATCAATAATTATTAATTAAAATCATATTGAAAAGAATTAAAAGAAAAGTATTAGCATTTCGCTAGTGCGATCTATCTAAAAAATCACAGCGAAAGAGTTGATAATCATTTTGTTGTTGTTTGTTCATTCACATTCATCGATGAAAATATACATGGTATGATATGCAGGACAGAACGTATTAAAAAAATGGATAGTGATGATTGGTTTCTTCTTCCTTGGATGTGCTTTGGTCGCTGGTGTCGGACTACCCTTAGCTTTAGAATTACGAAGCTCGCATTTATTAGAAGCTAGGCTTCAAGTTGTACGACGAATGCTCTCCGAAGTACCATTAATCGATGGGTAAGAGATTATCATGTAAAGAAAAGTAATCGAAATAATTTAAGAATTTGTAAATTCAAACGATCATTCTCCTGATTTTAGGCACAATGATTTCGCATGGAATCTCCGGAAACATCGGGGGAGCACAAAATTAAAAGATTTCCCTTTTGACGAGGACTTGTCGCGAAATATAAGTTGGGGCTCTCAGTGGCAAACTGATTTGGTGCGGTTACGACAAGGTATCGTGGGCGGGCAATTCTGGTCCGTTTACGTTCCGTGTGAGGCGCAATTTCTTGATGCGGTGCAGCTCACCCTGGAACAGATAGACGTAGTTCGTAGGCTTGCCACAAAATATCCAAAGAAAATAAGAATGGTAATGAACAGCAGGGAGCTTGAAAAAGCGCATAAAGATGGCGTGATTGGGAGTTTAGTAGGAATCGAGGGTGGTCACAGTATCGGGACATCCATGGCTGTGCTGAGAAGTTTTTATCAATTAGGTGCTCGATACATGACCCTGACACATAAATGCAACACTCCATGGTAAGTTCGCACTTTTCTCATTCTACATTTTGTTCGGTATCTACATTTGTAACATACGAGTATAAAAATAGAACAAGAAAATAAAATGAAAACGATCAATGTGTGTCGGCCTTCGTATATAGGTACATAAATAAATAACGACGAACCACAATTGTCGCAATTGTTCGCAGGGCAGATTCTTGTTCGGTAGAAGATTCAAATTCAGACGCACGATTGGATTTTCATAGCGATGGATTATCGGCATTTGGCAAAGCGGTGGTGAAAGAATTGAATCGATTAGGAATGCTTGTAGATTTATCTCATGTTTCGATAAGAACTATGAGGGATGCATTGGCGATAAGTAAAGCGCCAGTAATATTTTCTCATAGCGCAGCCAGAGCTCTCTGCAATTCGTCCAGTAATGTTCCAGACGATGTACTCCGTAATTTGGTGAGAAAACCTGTTTCCTTTTCCTTTATTTGTGTAAATCTATAGTTTTTGATTAAGTTGATTTTCTCTAATTTATTCATGTGTGTTCTCCTTTTTTCAAGTCGGTGAATGGAGGTCTAGTGATGGTGAGTTTTGACAGCGCGCATTTAAGCTGCGGCGATAAAGCTTCTATGTATGATATAATAGGTATGTGTGTACCAAAATTTAAAAAATGTTAAAAAATGTTATTTTTTACTACAACAAATTATTAAATTATTAAACAGAACTAGAAAGATACAAATAATATGTAAAAAAACGAAATAAAAGATATACTTGCTTTTATAGCTCACATCAATCACATAAGGGAAATAGCTAGCGTTAATCACGTGGGTCTTGGAGCTGGTTACGATGGTATATCAAAGTGAATATGAACGATCTACAGTCTATTTTAAAATTAAAATTTCGATGGATGAGCATTTTGTATATTTTCAGTCCGCCGGTTGAATTACCGGATGTTTCCGGTTATCCTTTGCTACTGGCTGAATTGACCAGAAACCGAAGATGGTCAGCTCTAGATATCAAGAAATTGGTTGGCGGAAATTTATTAAGGGTGCTGAAAGAAGTGGAGAATTATGCAGCATTAATGTCGCATCAATCTCCGACGGAAGAATTGATCCCTCAAGAATTGATAGAGGACACTGCCTACTGTAGATATCATGACGCCTAAAAATATTTCAAGAATATCGGTAATCATCAATCTTTGATTCATCAAACATCAAATCGCCTGTTCCTTATCGTTTTCTCTCTTTGTACCTGGATTACTCTGTTTTACATATTTTAATAAAGCAGGCACGGATCATCCGAACCATCGTTTTTTCTCTATTCCATGCATTTCGTTAATCAATATACTATCTCAACATACTACTACACTAAATATGCTATGGTTGTTTCGTGTTCATCACTTACACTTGCGAGTAATGTCCTTGTATTAGAACGAATTTATTTTAAATATTTTTCACGGTTTTCCTCATGTTATGATAAACGAGTCGCAGCCTTCGTATTTAATCATAGTGTAATAGATAGAAAATCAATTATAATTATGATTATGTCGTAATCGACTTGTCGTAATCGACGATAAACGTAATGATAAAATGAATATCGAATCAACATATAATTATATGCATATACTACGTATATGTACGTTTTTTGCACGAATAACGTCAAGGTTTTCGTAATCCGGTAATTATAAAGTTTACAATGAATCATATTGACAGACACAATGCTCTAATAGATTTTTTGTACAGCAAATGTGTGTACTATTTTTGTAAACATAGTCCATTACATTGTCAATGTGTTATCTGCTCTTAAGACCGAAAATAGAAGTTGTTCCTTAAATATTGGAAGAGATGAACAAGAAAAGACAATTGTAAAATATCTAATGATGAATGATGCGTAATGTATTTATCATAGCGATAAGTGAAAAAGATTAAGATTGGATCTATAACTTGCTGTGAAGACAAGAGAGAGACCAAAGGAAACGAAGACAAAAATAAAAGTAGTTTTGCAGTAAGAATAAAAGTAATTTACAGTACAGCACAGTTATATAATTACAATTGTTTATTAATTACTAACTGTCGACTATTGATTAATAAACAAGTTTTCCTGGTTTTTTAAAACGTGGCTACATTCCTTACGTTACTCAGCACGAAATCAATACGCCGTTATGCATTGATCCCAGTGATGCGATGACGGGAATATATTTCACATAATACTTTTCTCTAGTTGGCAGCGTCCGGTAGAATCAAGCATTCAAGACGGCCAGGAAGGACAACGATAAACATTTATATAATCTGTTCATCGTACAACAAAATATTTGCATTAAAAACCTTGGAAAAAATTATTTTTGTATGCAAATTCAATTAAATCTTGATGCGAACTAAGTAAATGCGATAATTTTTTCATAAGAAAATATTTTAAGAATATTTTTCAACTAATACTACTTTTTATTTATAAAAGTAGAATTAGATAATTATATTATTTTATTCTATTTTATGTTATCTAATAACACTATACTTATCTAATACTATCTAATTACAATATATTTATCTAATTATATTTTTAGCTAATATTAAATTGGCTAATATTACTGTTTATCTGAAAATTATTTCCATAATTCCCTGAAATCAATTTTCATTCTCTAGTTTAAAAATTTCATTCAAATGGACGATTGTGTATCCGTTTTTTCCGAAAGTGCTCAAAATAACGTTCGTTGTTCCTTCTTGGAATAATTCGCATATAATATAATGATAAAGGAATCGTTGAATTATTGTTTATTTTTAAATTTCACTAATTACAAAAAGAAAAATGATAGAAAAGTAAAAACTGTTTAAAAGCGTTGCAAGTATTTGAAAATACTTACATTATGGAGGAATTTGTACAACTTTATTAAAACATATAACAATCATTAGTAAGTTATAATTAAGAGAAAACGTGAGTTATTAAAATTCTTAATAAACAGTGTTTTATGAATATACAAATGAAAGGGAAAATTTTTGATATTAATTTTTTTTTTTTGGTTTTTTGGTACATATTGTATAATGTACACTATACCTTATTGTATAATATATAATTTGGTACCTTATTGTACAATGTATATTATATAGATACGATATAATATCCTAAATCAAAGAGAATCGTCGAGGATCGATCACAAGTCGATTGTAAGCAAAAAGAATCCGTTTCATCACGCGGAAGTGGTAGGGGATTCAAAGATTATATTCGCTGGTTTGTTCGTCAAAAGATCAGTGTAGCTCACTATCGATTTCAAGTTACATTGTTTCAGTTTCAAATTTCAGAATGTTCGAATTTTGAATGACGATAATCAAAGTTGGACATTGAATGAAAGGAAGAAGAAAGAAGGATGCGGATCGATGAGTGTTCAACGAATTTTTGAATTTATTAAATTTCATGTGTACCATTGAAAATTAACTTATCGTGGATTGTCGTATATGTGAATTTCGCGTAATCAGTTATGAACTAATAAAGATTCGCGGAAAAAAAGAAAGACGCATTAAACATTGAGAGGAAAAGATATTGAGATTTAATAAATTTGTATGTAACGGACACGAACATCTTAAGAAAACGAGGTGAGTTCAATTCATAGTTTAGTCGCGAAAATAAGTACGGAAAATACGAAAAATAATATACGATGATAATGATTAAAATACGAAAATCATGATTTGATAATCGATAACCACCCTAAATCGTGAACGCATGTTTTTAGTCTTGTAAACATTTTCTTCTCCTTATTACGGCATACACACGTTCAATGAACTGTATACTATACGAAACCGAAGATTCTCGTAAAAATAACCACGGCTAATTTTAAATAAGATACGTGCAAATCTTTCTTCATTCGTTTCCTTTTCTTCTTTCCCCTTCTTTCTTTCCGACATTACAAATTTTCGTCAAATAAGAGTTTAAGTTTAAGGATTTGATATAGTATTTATGTAATATGATACTTAACTCGATATAATATTGAACATGTATTAAAGGAAATATTAAATATACTGTATCACGATGCAATTTCAATTATTGCATAATCCACAATATATATGATAACACGTCTATGATATTGTTAATCTAATTTAGATTGACAGATATTGTCTGTAAATAATTCACGTATAGTAATTCACGTATCTATAGCAGTCGAACAGTGTCACTAGACAATATAAGTTGATTATTTACAGACAATGTGCATGCATTCTAATTAGTATCTCCAATCTATGAGTGAGATTGCTATTGCGGTTTGTAAAATATTGTATATTTTTAAGTTTGGGAAGAAAACGAACAATTTTAGAGACATAAATCTTTAATCCAAAGTTATCAATCTTCAAAAGGATCTTCTTCTAAAATTAGAACAGCTTAAAAATTTTGTACGAATGTTTAAAAATAATTTTATTACAAAAACTTAGTTAGAAAACAAAGAAAATATTAATTTTTTGTTCGTAGCAATTTCTGCTTCTATAACATTAGCTCTAATTTTGAGATAGCTAGCACTAGGATTACAGGAGATTCATTTAATAATTTAATATACATTTTCAAAATATTGTATCAAATCCAAACAAGATATTACATTACAAGTGTAAAGCTCTTTAATGTTTTGAAAAACTTTATTAAGATAGGAAAAAAAATTGATATAAGATATTTACTGCGTAAAAATTACAATTAAATTGTGCTGCGTGTTGTCATTAACATTCGAACATTAAATATTTAAACTGTCATAATTAAAAAAAAATCGTAAGACAATAAACCTGAAATTTATTTTAATGTTTGAAGTTTCTACTTTTAAAAAATAATATCATTTTATTTTAAAATTTTCACATCGAGTAGCGGAATTCTCTTCTCGAAAATACTGAAATTGTCATAATAGTCAAAATATTGAAAAATTGTTTTCATGATTGAATCTAAGATGATTTTGAAGAACGAAGACCCCCGAAAACTTGATATGTGATATTTTTTCGTTATTTTATTGAACTTTGAGAAATCATATCTTCGCCTGATATTTAAAGTTCAATAAATAAAGGAAAAAAGAACAGAGAGTTTTCGTTAAAGAGGGTATTTTGATCTTTAAAATCAATATTTTTACATACTCTGACAATTCGTAGCATTTTCGAGAAGGAAAGTGTCTTCACCTTGCCATCTGCTACATATGTAGCAATATCTAAATATAAAAACATCTTAGAATAAAATGAGAAATGTATTTTGAAAAAGGAGGCTTCAATCTTTTAAATGAGCCCAAATTCACTATTGTACGATTTCTTCTTACAAAATTACATTAAAGTTTCAATATTTAGTATCAAAATATTAATGGGAATCACTGTATGTCTCCTGTTACAATGGAAAATAAAATACAGCTTAATACTTAACCGCAGACTGTTTCTCAACTTGTATTTTGTTTTCTGTTATCTGCAGATTATTCGCGAGCAACGTACGTAATATGTAAACGTGGACTATCATCGCATCGCGTCGGTAGAGCGTTCGTAGAAAATGTCTGCAGACAGCTGTTTGTCAGTTTGAAACTTTACTAAATAATTGCTTTTCGACTGTTCTTTGTTTCAGATAATTCCGGTTAATAAGCGAGAGAAAAAGGATGAAATACAAGGTAAGGCAAAATTGAGGCAATAATTTTAAATTCTCGTATGTATGTTATGCACGTAGTATATAAAATGCAGATAGTGAAAAATCATGTTGAGGTATAATTTCCTCGTTCTATTCTCGAGTAATTGTAAGATTTGAAAGAAGATACACACATTAGCATTGGCAGCATTACAAACGACATCATTTAGTTTCAACTGAAATGTCGAGTATTAAAAACTTTTTTATCGTAGCATTCGCTTTTTTTCTAGTTGCGTCACAAGTTGCATGAATAAATCGATGAACGAATAAAGAAGTCTAAACTGTAATGAATAATCGAGGCAAGCATTTTAAGGAAAACAGCGTGATACAACGATTATGTTCGTATCGTTAATTCACACTCATCTTATATCATCTTGTATCATCTTGTTTAAGTAATACAAACGAAAAAAGTGGCTTGGTACAAATGGCTGAGGTAAAAATGTCAAAATCGTTTAATTTGAATATATAAATGTACAACGCTTCTCAGCAAGATCAATTGAATTTTCATTTGTGTAATCATGTAACCACGTAATAGATAAATTTTGCTAAAAAGATCATACTTGCCTCAAACAAATTCTTTTACAGATATATATTACCATATCGTAGCATATATATATATATATACTTATATATACATAGAATATTTATCTCAATAAGTAGATATATAATATCTCTATCAATAAGTAGATACATAATCACTCTATTCGTAGCACAAGGATACAATAATTGACAGAGGATATAACATTCAAACTATCTGTTGTGTGATCTATTATATCATTTTTTTTTTTTTTTTTAATTAGCCATTTCGCAACATTTTCTCAAACATCAAAAATGACTGTTTATTAACTTTCTTACTTCTTTTGTTTGTTTCGATCAATCTAATTGGAGAATTTTTTTTTTATGTTTGAATAGTTTTCGTTTACCAAATAGAGCTTTCACATTTGATAAATGTCATTTTCGATAATTTAATTACATACGATATTGTAACCGCAGCTTTGATTTGTTTTTGTAGACATAGGTTTAGAAGTCATATTATTGATAAAAACTAATTAAAATTAATTCATCGATTAAGTTTCAACTTATTGTTAGATCCATACCTCCTTTAACTATATTACGAATGGAGGAAAGGGTTAGAAATCTCGCATAAAAAAAATAATATTAAAATAATTTCGTTTTTAGGAACTATGATTTAAATATTTAAATTATTATAACAGGGTGTGGCACGTAACTGTCGCCACGACAATTTTTCAGGCACTTCTGATTGTAGTAATAAACTTTATTTCGGCCTCAGAGCGATGAAATGTGAACTTGGTATACCTATTTTCCTCTTTTCTCACTCACTTGTTTCTCTCATTCATTCCAATACTGTTTTGCAACGCTGTATTACTGTAAAAACTATATTGCTTTGACTATTTTTAAATTTTACATACATTTTACTTCTGTAAACTTATTTTCTATTTTCTTATCTATTTGCTTTGGTTTTAATTTTTCCTGATTTCCTTTATCCATATTATTCTATTTCATGCATGTAAGAGTATAAACTCTTCTAAATTGTAAGCGTGTTGACTCCATTACACGGAATCCAACAACTTGGGTGAAGGGTGAAAGTCATGTTGATATTAATGTTATGAAAAAATATTAACATAACTTGTACTATAGTGTCAGACCGTTGCATCGACAAAAGTATCCAAATAATGTATAAATAATCCGTCACAGACATCATTTCTGGTTCAGAGTTGATCCTTACTAGTTCAGAGAACATAATTTTCAGGAAAAATTTACAATGAACAATTTCTGTTGAAAACCTAAATTTCTGAAGTCAAAGACATCTGAAGGTCAGTATAGTAGGTCGTTGAATTCGTTTTTTCAGAAGCAATAATCCTGCAAAAATCCTGTCAAAAATACACAGTGCCATTTAAAAAAATCAATGTGACCTTGATTTTTTATCGAAAAAAAGAGTTTCTGGAATTTTTTATATTGTACCTTGTAGCCAACTAGAAACTTGTTCATTAATTAATTTTTGTTCAAAACATTTTTTGTCACACAATCAGAAGAAGTGCCTGAAAAATCGTGGTGACAGTTACGTGCCACACCCTGTATATATGTATGTATATTAAGCCGTATTTAAAAATGCGTACACTTTTGTTACCGTTTTGTTACCATTTTATTCCGTTATCGTTGCACAATGTGTCATGGCAAAACGCGTTCTGTATTGTACATCATGATTGTGATTTGTTACTGATTGTTAGTTCGATTGTTCCGACGAATGTCAGTAAAGTATTCTACTCCAAAGGATTTAACGTGCTATCTTTTGTACGAGTGTAGACGTCCGCGCGTATCAAAATCGAACCTTGATTGCCATTTGTTCAACTGAAACTATTAAATTCAAAAACGAGTATCATTAAAATTTAAATTAATAAACATCGACTCTCGTACTACTAAAATAAGTGCATAAGAACGTAAGTAATATATATATTAAGTAATAGTAACAAATGTGCGCGCATCTTTAGGGTGTTTAAGATATCGAGGCATACGAAACGCGACTTATCCTGTATTATAAATGTACAATCATAAATGTGCTACTAATTTAATCATTAGTATTTGAGAAATTACAGATTGAACGGAAAGATGTACAAGTGTTTCACTTTGAGGCAAATTGAGAACAGCGATCCTATTACTTCTATTTTTATTTATTTAGATGAATGATGCGGAGGCAAATAACGAAAGGAATGCTATAAGTGAGATGAAACAAGAATCGATGTTCTCATGGTAATTAGCAAATCATAATTAATGCTAAAACTGCTGTTTAGGTTCCAATAACTCCATTTCCAATAACTCTGATCTTTTAATATAATTAAACTATAACTTCATAAAAAGAAATCACATAACAATTTATTTGAATTCTTTTTTGAAGCGTAAAACTTCCATTTTGACTACTCTGAGTTTTTTAAAGATGTTTTTATAGTGAAAAAAATAAAAGTACTGTTACTCTTGAAAATTGTCGAAATTCAAACACTTTTAAAAACATTAAAAATTTCTTTTCATGATTTGACTTACCTCAGACGAAAATTAAATTTTCTCTTGACAACGACTACCTAAAATCATACAGAAGTCAAATAAATAAAGAGAAAATTTCAGTCGATTTAATCATAAAAAAATATTTCTCAAGATTTTTATAGACGTTTCAATTTTTATAATTTTTTTAAAAGATGAGTTATAAGTTATAAAAGTTTAAAGTTATATAATCTTGATATATCTTTGGAAAAAAAAACGAACTCAGGATAATAGAAGCTTTACTAAAATGTGATCAAGTAGATTTGTTATATTGATTTTTCTTTTTATGAAATTATGAACAGTTTAAAGTATCGAATGTTTTATCAAAATTAGTTGTGATGCAAAACTGATTTCACAAAAACAATTTGTATCTGTCAAAGCGGCAATAGTAACGAGATTGCAAAAAATTTTGTTTGGAAAGCCAAAGCATCCTACAAAACATTACATATTTTGTTTCTTTTTTTATATTCTACATGCAAATAATCAAATTGTTATTTATATTAAAATTCCATATGTGTTCAGTTTTACTCCTTTTATATGTTCTCAAGGTACCTAAGATATATTCATTCTTTAGTTGTTAATTTTTAAGAGGTTTCAGTCGTTGTTCTTTTAAAGGTCATTAACAAAATAACTTTACAAGTAAAATATCTTTTCGACATTGGGTATATATTTAAAAAATAATATAACATGTTGAGTTTAAAAACCGAAAATATTCAAATGAGCAAAAAAAAAAAAAAAAATGGTTTCAAAGAACAGTCATAGTACAAAATTTCACATTCTGCATGCTTTTAAAGAACCTCAAAACTGCTTTGAGCTTAATTTGTGTATTATGAAATAATACGCTTTCATTTCATAAAATATCCACTCCAAATTATTTCTAGCTGAGAATTAGATTTGAATTGTTTTAGAGTTTTATTTAGGTAATTTCTAATCAGATTAAAATTAAATTTGGGTTGGGTTATATTTATTTCGGGAAGAGGGGAGAAGTTTTATCTTTGCTATATTTCGAATACTAAGAAAAAAGAAATAAAGGAGAAAGCTATTCAAAATGTTGAAGTTTACAACATATTCAAAAATCGAAGAGGCGTCTCTGTAACTTAAATAATTATCCATAATTTTAAGAACTAAATCTCGAATGAACTTCTCAATTTATAATTTTTATTTTAATCTTAATTGTAATCCTAATCCTAACTCTAACTTAAGTGTTATGTAACAAAATAATTATTATAGACGCAAATTTTTTATTTTGCAACTTGAGCGACGGCTAAAACCTTTTGGAAATTACTTAAGAGGACATCTTTGGTAATATAATGTATTATGTAAAGATCAAAGTCATTGGACATTGGAGATGGATTCCTCAAACAGCACCTAATTAACTAAGAAAGTAAAAAAAAGAAAATAAAATTTTAAAACGTCTATTTTTTTACTTTGTGTTTTTACCGAGTCGTAAAATACGTATGCTTATTCATTATTTTAATGGAACTAGGAATGAAAAATATTGGCATTTAATTTTGATTCTCAAACTGTTTTAGGCAATGTGAAATGAAAGATGCAAAGAAATTATGTGAAAGTAAAAGAAAATTGGTCACAATTGGTATATTAACGGTAATCATGATTGTTTTGTCAATAACGCTGGTCTCGCAGATGGTTATTTATTGCAAGGGAGACTATAATGAGATATGCCAGAGCGAAGAATGTGTGAAGACAGGTACCATAAAATCAAAATTTTTCTTCTCTGTATTTTTAAATATCTAAGAATATACCTCCATCCGATATAGCCTCAAGATGTAGTGTTGAAATACAAAAATATCACATTTCACTTTAAATTGTTCTTACGTAAGAACAATTTACATTTATATTGATCTTGCATTTATTCGTAATTGCAAGTATTATTATCTGTAATTACAGATAATTACAAATAAGAATTATTCTCCTTATCTAGCTGTTAGAATAATGGACGCGATGAACAGATCCGTTGATCCTTGTCAAGATTTTTACGAATTCGCTTGCGGCGGTTGGATTTCAAGGAATCCTATACCGCATAGTCAAACTTCCTGGGATCAATTGAGTGTTCTTAGAGAACAATTGCTAAAAGATCTAAGAATATTGCTCGAAAAAACGGATGAAGAGAACGATTTGAGACCCGTCAAGTTGGCTAGAGCTTTATACAGAACTTGTATGAACATAAGTAAGAAAAATGCCAATTCTAACTAGACAAAATATTGATAAAGAAAGAACTCATTGTCAGGCAAGCAACAGGACCAAGTGCGAAACAAAATAATTTTAATTATCATTGTTCATTAGCGGGCATCGAAGCTTTGGGAATGAAACCTGTCTATGAAATGTTTGATAGGCTCGAATTACCAAAAGATCCATTTGCACAAAACGAAACTTTGTCTTTCGATCTTCCTGATATTGTCGGAAGAATACAGAGAGTTTTAGGTTTGAATGTGTTCCTAAATTTTTACATCAGCGAAGATATACGAGACACGGCGAAAAATAAAATGATGGTAAAGTCTGTCAGGTGGAAGAATTCGATTAAACGTTATTTTATTATCAGATCTCATCTAAATCCTACAATTTTATAATGGTTCCAAATCTCGACCTTAAATTAATTTAGACAGTTTCAGATAGAACAAACGTCGCCAGGATTTAACGAACGTTATTTGCTTGACTCGTTACGATTTCAAACAGAATTGACAGAATACAAGGACTATATAAAGAACATGATCGAGTTGGCTGGCGTAGGGAACAGAAGTATCGAATTTGCTAACGAAATCTTGAACTTTAGCAAGAATGTCGCGCGTGTAATTATTACATAAAAATTTTCATTATTCCATCAAGTATATGTAATAAATCTATGAATTGTTTTACAGATCATGGAAAGTCCAGAACAAAGACGCAGTGTAGATCATCTTGTTTACGATATAACTATCGACGAATTACAACAGCTGACAGATTTGTACACACAACAGGTAATCGAATTAATGCTTGTGAAAGTTAGGGAAGATATTAAAAAGAAAAAAAAAAAAAAAAAAAAAAAAATGAAGAATATCGATTAAACGTATTCTTTTTAATCAACCTGTTTCAGTGGAACTGGACCAAATATTTCGAAGCGGTATTCAACAATACAAACGTAACGATAAATACTACACTGGATCATGTAGTCGTGATGGATCTAGAATATCTACAAAAATTACCTAAACTGTTAGCAATTACTCCATTCACTACAATAGGTATATATATAATACATATACATGTATATAGGATGTCCCAAAACTGTTTGGCATTCAAAAAAATATTTCAAATGAAATTTGTTCGGTTTCAAAGAGAAAGTACAATAGAAATTCATTATCCGTACGAAAATGAAGAAAATAACTTTAAAAAACTGGATAATATAGAAATGCAATTTGTTAACAAAAATAAAATATAGACGCAGAACATACAAAATATATATGTACATATGTGTACCTGATTGATATTAATTTAATTTTCAAAATTAATAAACATAATTGACGGTAGTCGAAGAATAATTGATATAAATGTACTGATTAATCGGATGCCTAATTATTATAAGAATTTTATAGGAATTGTACTATAGTTAGTTTGTTTGTTGATGGACGTATATAAATTATATGAAGCTCAAATTTGCTTCTTTAAATGGAATTATGTACTTTTTGGTGTACAAATCGATTCATTTTGGCATTTTCTACAAAAAAAGTAATAACCTGTTTATGTCGGGAAATCATAATTTTAGAAGATATTTTAACTTTAATTCTAAAAAACTTTCAATATGAAAGACAACAATATATATAGTTTATATCTTTCTCTGTTTTTCACACGATAAATTTCAATCAAAATTAAAATTAAAATATCTAATAATTTATTACTAAAACTAATAATTTATTACTTTTTTATACAGAATGCCTAGATGGATTGATTTGTATATCAAAAATTACATGATTCCATTTAAAACAACAATATTGACTCGCATCTGATCTTTATGCATTCATCTACAAAAACAATTACAGTTAATATACCTACTATATTGAATTATCCCTTACCGAACAAATTTCGTTTGAAACATTGAATAAGGAACAATTTTCGAGATAATTATATATGTACATCGTTTCGTTTTACATGCTCAGTTTGCATCAGGTTTAGATCATATCAACAATACTGTAATCAAAACGTTTCAGCGCGATTTGTATGGTGGAACGTTTATTCGACAATTGCTCCGTTAACGTTACAACAATTTCGTGACCTTGGTTTTAAATTCTCACAGAAAGTTTTCGGTTTAAAAGAAGAGACACCCAGATGGAAAGCTTGTACCGGAAATGTGAACGCAAATTTTGGTATGGCTCTCAGTTACATTTACGCGCAAGAACACTTCGATGATAGAGCTCGACAAGAGGTTCGTGTGAAAACACAATTTTCTTTTATTCAGCGATCGCTACGTAATTATGATAAGTATGTAGAAGGAAATAGAGAAAGGAATGATAGACGGTTTTCAGGCTTTAGAAATGTTGTTCGATATTAAAGCAGCATTCGAGCAAATGATTGCCGAATTAGATTGGATGGATGCTAACACGAGAGCTCGAGCTCATGCAAAGTTACGCGCAATAAGACCGTTCGTAGGAATTCCAGATTGGATTAATAATTCAGAAAAATTGAATAAATTTTACGAAGGAGTGAGTTATATTAGCTTGCATCTCTCGATCACATTCAAGGCGAATCTCTGTTGCAGATAAATATTATACCTGGAAAATTGTTCGAAACATTTTTATTGTTAATTGATGCAGCAACTAAGAAAAGTTTAAACAGTTTGCGTGAGAAACCGAACAAAAATCGATGGATATCGACCGGAACAACAGTAAATGCGTTTTATAGCGCGATATTAAATTCAGTCAGTAAGTATTTCGGTGTTACTATCCAGATATTATTTCATTCTTTTACAATCATTTTATCATTTCAATTTTCTGGCTCATAGCATTTCCAGCTGGTATTTTGCACCCTCCGTTCTACGGAAATGGCCTACAGTATGTAATTGGCATTTGATTAACGAGTTAATAATCAAGTGTTGAATTCGAAATTAAAAGGTCAAACGTATATTTGTAGATCTATCAATTATGGTGCTATGGGCGCAATTATGGGTCATGAATTAACACATGGATTCGATGATCAAGGTACAAGTATATTGAAAGTCGATGTACTGTATCAAATGCGTAATATATTATAGAAAATTAGATAAATTAGATAAATAAATTATAGAAAATTAGATAAATTTTGAATAAATCAAATAAAATTCGGAAGTCGATTTGTTTATGTATTACAGGGCGTAGATATGATCAGAATGGAAATCTTCGGCAATGGTGGAGCAACGAGACGTTACGACATTATCACGAAAAAGTTCAATGTATAATTCAACAGTACAGTAACTATCATTTACCAGAGCTCGCTGATAATTTCACAGTGAGTACCTCCTGTCTTTCTAAAACAGATATAGCGATATTACGCCAGTAGATAGTGTATATAAGTATTTATATGTGGTATATTTAAAAGTGGATATTGTATATAAATATTTATATAATGTGGATAGTGTATATGAATCAATGAATCAATGAATATTGTATATAAATATTTATATAATGTGGATAGTGTATATGAATCAATGAATCAGTGATCACATAAATCAATAGCGTTTGAACGCTTAGGTGAATGGCGTGATTACACAAGGAGAAAATATAGCTGATAATGGTGGTATACGAGAGGCTTACAAAGCGTATCAACGATTCAAAAAGAGAAATACTGATCGACTAGTTTTACCTGGCCTCGTCAATTATAGTCAAGAACAATTATTTTTTGTGGGCTTTGCACAAGTAAGTAATCACTGTTGATAAACAGCAATATAATCGTAATTTTTACTTAAATTTAATATTTTATGAACGAGAACATATACATTTTGCATTACATATAAATATATAATTTTATATCTTCCAGGTTTGGTGCGGCAGTTATACAGATGGAGCATTAAAATCTAAATTGATACAAGGAGTTCACGCACCAAATCATTTCAGAGTTATCGGAACTTTATCGAACAATGCAGATTTTGCGAGAGCATGGAATTGCCGGGCCGAAAGTTCCATGAATCCATCTCGCAAGTGTGTTCTTTGGTAATTGTTCACAATTGGAGACGTAACTGAATGTTACGAACAAAATTGTATTATTTTTGAAAAAGATAATAGTATTTTTTTCTAACTTTGCACTTTGTTGTATAATATTTATAACAAAAATACATGAATTAATTATAAACAAAGTATTATTGTAATTGTAGAGCATTATTGTAAACTAATTTCATAAGAGTTAATATCATACAAGCATCTTGTTCAGTCGGGCAAGGAATAAAAAGAAAAAGAAAAAAGAAATTAAAAATTTAAGGCTATCATAAACAAAGAAAATAATTGAAAAGAAATTTCTATAATAATTTGATAAAATTCAATTATTCCAAATGATGGAGGTTTGAATAAAAGTATTAGATATCATGTAAAAATAGTAAATCACAGGATTATCCATTTTCATGTCTGAATTAAATGTAGAGTTACATATCATAATAAATTAATTAAAAGATTGTAAAGTTTCTCATTAAAATTATTGGAAATTATTGAAAAATTATTTTTAAATAAATCTCATTTTATTTTTAACAAAGAAGTCGAAGAAAAGAAGAAATGTGTAAATGAGAAATGCAAATGATCTAAATGAAATCTAAATAAAAAATAGATTGGTTCTGAAGAAAAAGAAAAGAAAGAAGATGATGTAACACTTGAACTTACATCCAAGAAGAGTAGAAAATTGTCAAATAATGATAGCAAAGATGGAATCTATGATTTAAATGAGAAGAAAGAAAAGTGATTTATCTTTATAAGGTTGTAATACATAGAATAAATAGTAAATACGATGAAAAGAAATTACAAAACAAGATGTTAGTAAAATATCGAAAAAATTACATTCGTATTGTTTTATAAAATCCACAAAAGGTAAACTGATAGAAAATATTGTGTTTTATAATATATTTAATTTAAATACTAATTCGTACACAATATTGCAAAAGACAAACAGGTAATTCTAAGACCACAATTAACTTTTTGCAGCATATCTAATTTGTTTTTCTTATACCTCCATAGTTTAATTTCTCCAGAACTTGAAGTTGTGACTAAAAACTTATCCTTAATAGCTATACATTTTACACGGTTATCATGCGCAACTGCTTCTACAGTGTACACTGATTTTTTAAGATCATAAAACTTAATTTGACCATTTTCTAAACCTACAGCAATTAAATCATTGTTTAAAAATTCTACGCAAACAATTTTTGAGTCAAATTTAATTTCTCTTTCAATTCCTGCTAATTTTACGGAGTACACATCTATTGTTTGCATTACAGCCAACAAATACTTATCACCATTAGGACTCCACTTAAGAATATGCACATTTTTAGCATCTAATTTCAATCTTGGGGTTAAATTTGTGGCATATGCTTGTCTTCCTTTAATTAGATTCCATGTTCGAAGAATTCCATCTGCTCCAGTAGATAGTGCTATTTTTCCTGATGGATGAATAGCTAAAGTATTAACAGCTAAACCTTTGTGTGGTTTTTGCCAATGTTTCTCCATTTGCCAATTTCCGCATCGAATTGCAGCTATAGTTCCGTCGTTACTGCATGAAAATAGGTGAGATCCGTCAGGGGCAAACATGATGCAATTAACAGTATCTGCATAAATATATAAAGAACATATAAGATATACTAAAACAGATGATACTGATTTTGACATGATATGCAAATAACAACTGTATATGATTATACCTACCATTATGGTGCATTAATCTACCAAACTCTACTCTGTTATTTAAATCATATAAATAAACAGAATCATCTGCTCCACTGGAGGCTAAAAAATTTTTGTTACATGTAACGCTACGTATGCTATTGGTATGGCTATGCGTAGCAAAACTTTTTTCTATTTTATATTCCTAAAAATTCACAGAATTTATCAATCAAACATGAAATTACATTAAACTCAAATTACATGTGACCGACATAACCTACAATATAATATCCTATAATAAATAGAAGTTGTTCACTTACATTATTATCATTGTTTATTTTGTAACCGAGTAAATATTGCTCGTATGTTCCTACGATTACTTCGAATGGATCTGCCATAATAAAATAATACGCACTAACTAATCTTTTTTACTCGTGAGATTGAATACATTTGATTTCGGTGCTAATAACAAAATGTAGGTAAGTATGTACTACAAATTTATCGCTGAAAGCATTGACTAAAAGATGGCATTTGAAGCGATACAATGTGAAGGTTTACACCTTTTAATTAATAAATATTACAAGGTTTAATATCAAGACAAGAGCGGTTATTTATTTAATTTATATAATGATATGGTTTCCAGAGTGTTTGCTTCTTTACAACTAAATTTTTAAAATATTCATTACAATTTTTTTTCTTCTATCTTCTTTTGCTATTGGCGTCACCACTGTTCCACTCATTTAAAAAATATGTGCATCACTACAACAATGTACAAAGATATAGAAAGGAATCCTCTCTTATTTTATTCTGCTGTCATAGTAATAAAAAAATTAACTGATCGATAACACTCGAGTTTTATCAAATACAGATTTTATCATTTGTCATAGTTAGATTTTGGATTTTTATGCATTTATGGGAAATTAGAGGATGCAAAAATGAAAAATATATAAAATATCAGAAATAAAGCACTTGTTATAATATTTAATAGTGGACAAGAATTTCGGTAATATTTTACTAAATATTTACTAAATTTTAACATGTTTAAGGAACTACTTAAAAAAGCAAAATTTCTTAGTAAAAAGTGTTCTAATTATGATAAAATTTAATTATAATTAAGAAGTGTGAAATTCGAAGTTAGGTACGTTCCTAAAACTACCCAAATTATTCAATAAGAATTAAACTGAATTTTTGTTATTTTGTTTAGTTTTTATTTTTGAATGCATAATTAAAATTGCATTAGGAATATATATATTCCTAAATTTAACCTTAATATTAATTTAACCTTAAATTCTGTACTTCCCATTTACTATTAAATGTACCTGTAATTATTTGCAAATCTTTCTGATATTTTTGGTATCATGGTTTTTCTTGCTTTTTTCTTTAAATCAGAGCGTTGAGTTTCTTTCACATCATGGGCTACAAACTGTTCAGTCTGCCGGTTCCCCCACCATGAAAATTAGTTTCCACTCTATACATTATTTCTTGCCGCAGCCATACAAATTATTTTTCCGATTTTCTTTTAAATTATCTACGCCAAAATAGAAAAATCGATATAGTGGAGCGGATTGTCCTGCCGATCAAAAAAGTAGGAACACGGACAAAAACGGGTCCGCGGGCCGCCAGTTCGCCATCTCTGCTCTAAATAACTTTTTCTGTCGTGCCCTTCAAATACGTTTCTCAGTCACTCACTTGTGTATGGATTAGAAGTTAACACTAATCTTCGGATCACAGAATTTCCGTCATTCCGTTCTCTACAAATAGCAAGTCTCTTCTAAGCGTGAAAAGTTGTCCACGTTATGCAAAAAATACGCACGTAATCGGCCCACAGATTGTGTTAAAAAGTGCTGCTATAAGAACTATACTATAAATATGAAACTTTCAATTTTTGGCTAATATTAATACATATGCCTATTTCTTATTATACTTATTAGATTTATTAGAAATAACCAATCTGACCAACATTTTTTTTTATCTTCATAGAATACGTATACACAACGACTTAAAGACGACTTAAATAATTAATTTAACTGATGAATATTCATCATAATGAAATATAATCAGCTGTATATGTACCTTCTTGTGATACGTGGTTTAATCGAATAGATTTATCACTATCATGCAACTGAAATATTGAGTCGTATGCATACATATACATATGTAGATCGAAATCTAGAGTGTCTGATACTAATTTTTCCAAAAATTAAAAGTGTTAATTAGTTATTTCTCAATATTTTGACAGTATAATGTATAATTTAATAAAATCTATTAATTATTACACCATGCTTCGTCTATTTTTTCCTACTATTTCCTTCTCCAACGTCCAGATATGAATTCTAATGAAATTTCAACCACAGCAATATTTGTTCGTACAGAAATATAATAATAATTTCTCATATAATAAGATATAATTTATATAATATTATTATATCTATAAGATATAATTTCTCATACAAGATTCTCAAAGATATATATGTATATAGCGATATCTCAAAAGAAAATTATATATTTGGAAATATAATTTATCAAACGAACAATTCCTGTTTCGGCGAGAAATAAAATGAATCATTTAAATTAAGTGACACGTTAATTGTTTAACTAATTAATTAATTAATTATCAATTATAATTAATTAAATAATTAATTTATAGAAAATCATGGAAACGAGTACATATAGCATTTTTAATTTTTCAAAGTCGCACGTCAAAGTTCTTTATCTATAATTACATTTCTTTGTTTTCTGTATGATTCTGTATCAAATTTAACAGAGATAATGTTATATTTATGTAATATGATAAAAGAGATGATAGCTGACGTGAACTATGGTATCTTACTAATATTCAGGAAAACGTCGTCTAAAAACATTTCATTGAAAACGTTGTCGTAAACTGTTAATTAAAAGAAATTGAAAGTTTTCCGAAATTTTTACGTAAATGATGGAGATTCTAATAACAGAACTTGATGTGAAAGACATAAGGTTTCCAACATCGTTATTAGCTGACGGAAGTGATGCTATGGTATGTATTTTCCTTTCGATGAAATACTGTGCGTAGGTATTCTAGATTGAAATTTAATTTTATAAACAGTTGTTGTAATATAATATTCAATTACAGCACACTGATCCTGATTATTCTTGCGCGTATGTTACGATCAAGACTAACAAAGGGATCGAAGGATATGGATTAACATTTACTTTGGGCAGAGGCACAGAAATTGGTATAGATATTTATTTATTTATTTATTAAAATAACTATTTATGAACAATATTATCAAAATTTTCTTTAAAATATTTCGCAGTTGTACAGGCATGCAAATCAATGTTCTATTTAGTGAAAGGACAAAACGCTAATGAAATTTTTGCGCACTTCGGGTCTTTCTGGAGAAAACTGACAAGTGAACCGCAATTGAGATGGGTAATATATTACAAATATAGCAAGTTCAAATTAAAATCGCACGTTCAATATAAATAGATTAAATGCATTAGATTGGACCAGAAAAGGGCGTTATTCATCTTGCTACAGCGGCTATAATAAACGCGTTGTGGGATCTGTGGGCTAGAATAGAAAATAAACCTGTTTGGAAGCTACTTACGGATTTAACTCCTGAACAACTCGTCTCCACGATTGATTTTAGATATATGTAAATTATATACCTACATATGTACATATGTACATATAAATTAATACATATATTACGAAACAAATGAACTACTGTAATTATTTGAAATTCAAACGAATTTTTGTTGTCTCTCATAGCACTGATGTTATCACGGAAGAAGAAGCAGTGGAATTGCTGAAAGTTAATCAAAAAGATAAAGAGAAGCGTGAAGAAATACTACGGAAAACTGGATACCCAGCATACACAACGCAAGTGGGGTGGCTTGGATATAGTAATGATAAAGTTAAAGAGCTCTGTACTAAATTCTTGTCTCTTGGCTTTACATCTTTCAAAGTAAAAGTTGGCCAAAATTTAACAGATGACATAAGAAGATGTCAATTGGTACGCGAAACAATAGGATATAAAAATAAATTGATGCTGGATGCTAATCAAATATGGAATATCAACGAGTCGATCGAATGGATGAAAAAATTAGCAAAATTTAAACCAACTTGGATTGAAGAACCAACGTCTCCGGATGATGTATTGGGCCATTTAAAGATCGCAAATGAATTAAAGCCATATGGTATTGGTATCGCAACCGGTGAAATGTGCGCTAATCGCGTGATGTTTAAGCAATTACTACAAGCAAAAGCAATTGACTATTGCCAAATAGATTCAGCTAGAATAGGAGGGATCAATGAAATATTAGCTGTTTATTTGATGGCAAAGAAACTGGGCGGTAAGTTGCATTATAATATACTTCGAACATGCAAGAACGATCATTTTATCGTAATTTTTATTTTATTAGTTCCAGTGTGTCCTCACGCTGGCGGAGTGGGCTTATGCGAAATGGTTCAACATCTGCAAATGTGGGATTTTATTTGCCTAAGTGCATCTACTGAAAATCGTGTGATAGAATACATCGATCAACAACATGAACATTTTGAAAATCCTGTAGTTGTTCAGAATGCTTGTTATATGCCACCTATCAGTCCAGGTTATTCAACTAAATTCAACGAAAACTGTATTAAAAATTACTTGTATCCGAATGGAGAAAAATGGAGGAATATGTATGAACAAGGGCTTTTCCATAAATTATCTGATTGAGAATATTATAAAATTGAAACATATACTTCCATATTAACTGAAATACAATATTTTGATATAAATGTATTTAAATGAGTAGTCAAAATTTTGATTTATTATTCTTACATTGATTCAACTTAAGATTATTTCAAAATTACCAATAAAATATAGTGTAATTTACTAATAAATTATTTTTCTTCATAGATTGTATTAGGATTTTTGTGATTGGTTTTTCTGATTGTAGTTCCGGAAAGCACCAATTTTGATATAAAATCGATATAAGATTTTGGTGGGAAAAGGATAGGGCAAATTTTATATTCCAAATATAAAATTTTAATTTCGGATATTTATTAGTTTCCGAGATATTAATAAAAACTTTCGGTATGAAATTCTGTTTAAAATTAAAATTAGTTCAAACCCAATTTTTGTCTTTTACTTATAATTGCTCATTTGTTTTGCATGTTACAACACAATCTATTAAGTAAAGTAGCTTGTCTATATATATTTTTTTTTCATGGTCTGATGAAATATTTCTTTTTTTTTATTCTTAATTTTTCCGTCATTCGTATGTTATAACAAAATGTTTAAAGAAAGTCTCATTAAAATCCATGATGCAGCGATCTTTCGACCGAAGTTGTTTTTACACTAACTGTAATAAAACATAAAAAGCAAATCTTAATATGTAAAAACAGTACTAATAATTTTAAAAATAATATCGAAAGTTTTTTTATTACTGTCAAATGCATGTTTTAAAATAATTTTTAAACTTACTTACATTTAGCAGTATCTTTAATAATAATGGAAATAGTTTACATAGATATTAAATTAATATAAATTCTATTCATATAGTATATGTTTTTAGTGGAGTTCATTTTAGTTTTCATGAACAGTTAACATGTTATATTTATATAATCTTCTACAAAAAAATATCACAGTTATTAATCTTGGCCTTAAGCTTGATAGGACAGCCTAATATAACAGAATTATTTCCGATTTTTAAGATAAGACTTCACATAATCCGTCTGTAAAACAATATTCATTAATTTTAAATCAATTTGAAACAAAGGATTTATGATTTTCAAAGTATGCATTATACGTACGCTTACAAACCAATATGAATTTGGTTTAAAAATAAATTTTTTAAAAAAGTTTATATTGCATATAGGAGAGATAACATGTAAATGCAAGTGAGATATTGTATTAAATGGTGGCCAATGAAATCCTGTACGTGTAACTGTAAGATCTAAACCTTGTTGTTCTGCTATTATGTCTACTGTGGAAAGAATTCTATCATCTAAAAATTATTACTGTAGATGAATGATTTTTACATACAAGCTTAATTTAATATTTCAATTAGATTATCACACTTAAACTTACAAAGTTCATCATCTGTTGAGCATAGTTCTTTTGCATTGTTTATATGTTTATTTGGCAATATTAAATAATGATGAGTTGAAGCTGGATTAATATCTTTAATACATGTCACGTAATCGTCCTAAAATAAAATATAATATTACATATTTACTAAGTATGAGTTACTATAAATGAAAATATTTTTTTCCAAATAGGTGTCATTACATATCACGAATAAAAGTTTATATATATATATATATATATATATATATATATATATATATATATATATATATATATATATATATATATATATATTGAATGTACTTATAGTTTAGTTGGGTTAGGTTAATTTTTTCATACCTCATATATCTTTTCGCTTGGAGCTTTGTTACTTATAATATCACAAAAAATACAATTATTTAGATGAGTCTCCATGTAGACTAAAATATAATTGTTAAATAATTACCCGAATTTTTTCTTTTGGCACTTTAACGAAAAATTTGTGACCCGACTCTGTACATACACGTACTTGTAGTACATGTGTGTATTTAGTATGATTAGCAGTGTTTCTCATTTTTTTTCTGTTGTGTAACACTTTTAAGTATTTAAAAGTTTTACAGTACACTTGAAGAAAAAGTAACTTAAAAATTAAAAATATTGAAATAACTGATATATATATATATATATATATGATGTATTATATATGATATACATCATGTATACATATATAGAATAAATACAAAATAATAATTATTAATGAAAAAATATATTAATTCAATTACATAATATTAATTTATTAAAAATAACAAACGACAAGTAATAACAAAGCAATCGAACAAATGACGACGATAACAACCAACAGAAAATTATCTCTATCCTATGCTCTGGACTGATTAACTATTGGTTAAATTTGACAGCATACTAATAATAATCATTTTACGGCATTTTACAGCATACTGGTGTGTTGCTGCACAATGGTTAAGAATTACAACAACGATAGACATCGATAGATTATCTTCATCGATCGTAAATTGACACCTTCATTGACATTTTTTTCTTGACGTATAGGATGATCCATTTAAGTGAGGCCACTTAAGTATCTTTTCAAATTGTGATGATATAAAAAATATTTTTTGCCTATCGTGAATAGTATCGAAAGATCTATAACTGGTAAAAATTTTTTTTTTTAAGGTCATTCTTTTCAAGGACTTTTTAAGGTTATTGACGTTTCTTCCTCATACAACTATATTTTTGTTTTATTGCATTGTGTAGCTGATAAAAAAGTACGTTCAGATATGTAAAGAACATGACCTTGAAATAACATTGATACCGAAAAATTTAAGTTTTTATTTATTTAAATTTTACAAGTTATTATCGTCACAATAAATGTTCAAAATACTGTCCTACGATGATACACTGATGAAACGAATAACAAGTGATTGTAGTGATCTTTCGATTGTTTCTGAATCAACAGCAGCAACAGCTGTAACTATTCGATTTCTCATGTTTTCAGGTATAGTTGGACGTTCGTCGTAAACTGTTTTTTTTCCCCCACAAAAAAAATCCATTAGAGTGAAGTCCAGTGAATGCAGTGGCCATGCAACAACTCTATCACGATCAATTCATCGATTTGGAAATTTGTAATCTAAAATTTGCTTGTCTAGGCTTTAAATGGAAAAAACTATGCAACATTCTTGCAAAATGAACTAGAAATGTTCGTGCATGATGTACCATTAAATATTCATCTAACATAAGAATATGGTGCCAGCATGATGGTTGTCTGGCTCATTCTACATGCCTTGTCAAGCAAATTTTAGATTACAAATTTCCAAATCGATGGATTGGTCGTAATGAATTTGTTGCATCGCGTTCATCAGCCTTCACTCCAATGAATGTTTTTTTTTGCGAGAAAAATTGAAACAAACGACTACACCTGAAGATATGAGAAATCGAGTAATTACAGCTGTTGCTACTGTTGATTCAGTCAGTAACAATCACTTGTTACTCATTTCAGACAGTGTATCATCGTAGAAGGACAGTATTTTGAACATTTATTGTGACGATAATAACTTGTAAAATTAAGATAAGGTAAAACTTAAATTTATCGGCATCAATGTCATGTTTACATATCTGAACATACTTTTTTATCAGCTACACTAATCAGATGCAATAAAAAAAAAAAAATAGTTGTATGGGAAAGAAACGTCAATGACCTTAAAAAGTCCTTGAAAAAAATAACTTAAAAAAAAAAGAATTCTTACCAATTATAGATACTATTCACGATAGGTAAACAATACTTTTTGTATCATCACAATCCGAAAAAATATTTAGGTGGCGTCACTTAAGTGGACCACGCTGTATACTTAAAGTGTGTGTGTGTGTGTGTGTATATATATATATACACACATACCTGTTTCAACTTTAATATAAAAATGACATTGACTTTGTATGAGAAATCATCAAACTGTGAATTTCTGTGTTTATAGGAAATTTTAGAATGCAAAAATGCAATGTATATAATATGAAAAGAATATATAAAAAATATAAAATGTATAAATACAAACAAATATAAAATACATAAAATATTTCTAAATGTTTTCTATAACATTTCGTAAGTAATATAATTTTTTTTACCGAAGTTCCATTTCTTTAATTGTATAAATATAAATTGGCTACAAAACACTCTATATTTAAATATTTATATATATTGTACGACACGGTATACGAACATTGCAAAGAAGATATTGCTATACATACGCGTATGTCGTTTAGAATCATAATATTACATATGTATATATATATATATAAAATAAATATTTTTTATTTAACGTTCTATTTAAATGTTTCTTGATGATTAAAAGTTTTTATATCTGTAAAATAAAATTTTAAATGAAGATCCGATTCAATACAATATTTATTATACAGTGTTAGACTCTTAAAGAGCATCGATGCTATTTTTCAGATAGCTATCAAGATGTGAAATAAATATACAAAGTACTGCTGAATGTACAAGCAGATGAGAGGTGATTCCTTGTAAAAAAATAAGAAAGAAATATGAAAAATTTTTTCTTTCGAATCTTAGTTTTCGAGAAAATCGAATTTGAAAATGTATCAAATGTAACGCGTGCATCAAGGCAATTTTTAACGAAACGTATTCAAAGTCTATTTTCTTGAGAATGAAGCTTTAAATGAAAAAAATGTTATTCTCCTTTTTTTACTTATATTTGCACGTAGAATAACCTTCTATTAATTATTCTTTTCTGTCATGTCTAGAATTAGCAAGAGTTCAAATGAACTCGATAAATTTTTAAATTCGATTTTCTCGGAAACTAGGTCTCAGATGAAAAAATTTTAGCCTGTAGTTCCAAAAAACATCAGTTCCCAATCGATATGAAATTTTGAGGAGATGAACGAGAGGGGAGATAACTTTTTATAAAATGCTATAAAATTTTAGTTTCGAGTTTTTATTAATTACTAAAATATTAATAAAAGATTTTCGATACAATACATTGAATTCTGCCTAGATTCGATGATGATTAAAATTAAACAATAGTGGGTATTAAATACAAAGATTTATTTTGTCGCATTACTTTTTAATTTAAAATATATAAACTGTACATATATATATTTTTATAAGTAGTATATATTTATATGTTTTTATATAATAGTCGTGAGCATGATAAATTAGTAATAGATGCAATACATTCTTTACATGTGGCAGTTTAGTTTAATGAAAAAAGTATTTTTGCTTTCAGAAATCAATCCTGTAGAAATTCTACGCACTTTTCCTTCAATTTCGTTTGTTTCATATCTTTGAAAAAATCCGAAAATATTTTGACGTTTTCTTAATGTAAATGCGGAGGAAACAATTAGAAACTTTATATTTTTGTTTCATTTCTCTTGCGAACAAGTCATTGGTCAAATATAATAGAATAAACGATTTAAAACATAACAAAATACGTATTTTAATTTGGACCTGTATGTGAGTAGAAAGTTTTTCAACAAAATCTCTTCCTCACTTTTATATTTATGTAAAATCTTTCTTTTTTCAAAGATATTGTTACAATGTAATACTACTGTATATAATACAGTGTCTGATCATACAACAACTTCACTTTTGTGAAAAATTTATTTAGTAATCTTAAAGAAAGAAAGTAACCGATTAAAAGAGACATAAAAAAAAAAAAGCGAAAATCAAGATAACAGAAATTCTATTGAGAATTGAAATTTGCTCTTGAAATTGGCCAATTGCATCGTCAACTTACAGACTACAATAAATTTACCGGTAGTATTCCGACTGTACAGCACTTTTTCTCTTTTATAAATAATTATAAATTATAATTAATTTACGTTTCCGATTCGACGTAATTGTCATACAATATACATAATATTTGCTTACGACAATCCATCTGTAATACTGCAAACTTTTCACGACTCATTTTCTGCAGTGACATCGTACATCTCGTTTCTACCACCTTAGATTCCGTTCGAATCCATCGATTGTCACTGTCATTTTACGATGTCATAAGTCCTTGTTTTTCATAAATCTCTAAGTTATTGAGAAGAATTCGTTCGCCAATCGTTTTTTGATTCAACAATGAGTTTTTGATCACTAACTTTTACCATCGCTCGTTGCTTGCTTGTTCTCGTTCTCGTTCAAAGAACGATGCGACGAATATTGCAAAATTGCAGCAAGAAATTGGAAAAACTGAAATTAACTCAAAGCAATCTAATAAAGAGGTAAATTTCAGCTGCCTTGGTACGGCATTTGTTCGGGTATAGCGGACGAATGGTTTTGACTCGGGCTTTGATGAAAATGAGGACTGCTACCGTCTTGCGATATTTCACCCACCGCTGGTTCTTCGTATTTTCCCCTCTTGAAACGACCGTACAAGGAGGAGTATGGTAAATTATAGTGGATTGCCGCTTGATTAATGCTCATATGGCCTAATCTGAAAAATCGTAAATAAATAAAAGAAATCACAGATTTTCCTTTTTCTACTAAAGTAAAGAACATTGCGATACGAGCTGTTAGGCTCATTGTCTACGAAGCGTTAGACTATCACTTGCTGTATATGCATATACTTTCATGCAGTAGGTAATGTAGGAGGAGAGTGAAGAACAGTCGTCAGTGAAACGATAGAGGAACACTATAACGCGTCTCATCGCACAATTTTAATAATAAGACAAAATGTATCTTGTTATGCGGGCACAGACGTACCATCACGTCTAACAGACTACATTCTATGGAAGCGATTCTTCGTGGACAGTAGGCTTTAGTCTTAGAAAGAAAGAAAGGAAAAGTAGCGGAATAAAACGTGTCGTTTGGAAGAATAATAAGAACGACAATGTGGCGAAATGTTACTTTACCTGACAGCTTCGAGAGCTTCGGTCATAGCATCTTCGCTCCAAGGTGTGGGATTACTCCTGCTAAGTTCGATGCCCTCTCTTTTGCATCGACCGTATAACGTTCCTGTTGGTATACCGAATTCAGTCGACGCCCTCTGGACAGACGTTTGGCCGGAGCGTATTGCTTCGAGGGCACGATCGAGATCGGCAGGCGACCAGGTGGTGGGACTTGCATTGAAAGGTGCAGCCAGCCTGATGCCTTCCCTTCTCGCGATTTTGTACAAGGTACTCGACGGTATACCAAATGCTTTCGAAGCTTTGTTTGCTGATATTGTTCCAGTCCGTAGTGCTTCGAGCGCGTTGTTTAAACTCTCGTCGCTCCACGATTTTGTAGGTCCATCTTTTTTTGGAGTATCGATTCCCAGCCGATGCGCTCGTTGCCACAGAGTCGTCGAGGGTATACCGAACGTTGCTAAAACGATCGCGACACCACTGGATTAAATAAGAGAATACTGAAAAAGCTTGTTAACGAAGGAATGTTTCGCATGTATTAGCGGAGCGAAAGAAAGAGGATGCATGCTTTTGAATTACCAGAGGCTTTTGTAAGGCTCATATCGTGATTCCGTAAGGCTTCCAAGGCAGCGTCCATGTCCTCTTGGGTCCACGATTTTGAACCGTGATGATGAGAGCTGGATTGTCCGGAATGGCCCCTCGAGTTATTCTCACCAGAATCCGAGTGTATCGAACTTCCAGATGGCATCAATCCGAGCAATTCCGGTGTGATCATCATCATGTTGTCGCTATCGGCTGCGTTCTTTGAACTGACGCTCGCTCGATCTGACATGTGGCTATCGATATCAATTGTGTCCGACGAATCCATTGTGTGCAACGTTTCAAACTTTATCTTTACACTGTCACAATTCTGAATCTCTGCGAACAAATGCGAAAAACAACACAGTTCTAATGTGTTCTCTGGCTGAAAGAGTTGCATAGCATTGAATAGCAGTATCGCATCCGAATAATTAATCACGGTGTTTTTTTTGTTTTTTTCTTTTTTAATTTCTCGTTTACCTAACCCGAACTTTACGATTTGGGCGATGTCAATATCAATATCAACATCGTCGCCGTCGTTGCTATCGCCATGAACGTTATATCGGAGAAAGGAACGCCAACGATGGCAAAGTTGGGCGCTTTGACTAAACGAGCTTGCGTGGGTGGTTGCGAACCGAGCAACGTAAATCTAATCGCAACTAGTTAAGTTCGATTAGACTGATTATTTTAATTCTCTCCCCGTCTAATAACCATCTACGGTTTTATTTCACAACATGTGATTCACGCCGAGTTACGTAGCCGTCGAATTGACATTTTATATATATCGTCGGTATAGTGAAAGCGCTAGCGAAAAACAGTCGTTGTAAATATTATCAGCAACACCACCTGTGGAATGATGATCCGGGTCCCTTAAATGCGTAATTGTAGTACCGACCAATGTGGCACTCGGCGGTGTTGGTTGAGTTTCTGGAGGTAGATCAACCTCTCCGGGATCCGGATGATGACCGTAATGACCGAGACCTGTATGACAAAACATATCACCTTTTTTAATTAAAGTGAAAATGATCTGTCCTGCACGTTGTTGTAAATTAGTAAGTCGCCCCACACCTAAAACCCGCCAATTTTTTTAAACCATCTCAAGATCTTCTTAACAAAGAAGGAGAGAAAAAAAAAAAATTTGAAACAACCGACTACTAATATTATTTATATCATTGGTAAACGATGTTGTCTTTACATACTAGAAATCATAGGATTCATAGGATCAATAGGTGTGGGGCCCGTGTCTCCTTATCGACTACTTACCGTTGTTATTGTTGTTGCTTGTATTGTTACCGTTGCCGTTGGAGTTGTTATTGCTATTGTTGTTGTTATTGTTGTTGTTATTGGTGGTGGTGGTGGTGGTGGTGGTGGTGGTAGTGGTGGTGGTGGTGTTGCCAGTAGTGGTACTATTGTTATTGTTGCGTTGGCAAGTTTCCAGCACTACTGCTCCCGCAGTTGCCTCCGTACACTCCTCATCTTCGGGTTGCCAGTCTATGTGATTCTGCGAAATATTCGGTACGAATTTAGCGACGTCTGTGACGAGATTGCCTCGTTGCTTTCGTGAGGGCTATCATGCTTTCTTACGGTTTTTCCAACGCTTCGCGTTCATTGACATTATCAATGCTTACCTCTTTGTTCTCCCAATCGTAATTTTCGTTCGATTCCTCTTCTTTATATCGATCGTAATGCCTCGAATCTGTAGCGCGAGGTTCGAACGTCGTTCTAGGCCTTTTGTACCTTTGATGATGTCTCTTCAGCTTGGTGAAATTTATTCTAGGAGTGCCGGGTTCCCTTGGTGGCGAACTCAGGCTTACCGAGGGTGGCCCGTCTCTACTTTCGGGCACCTCGCAAAGTCCCTTGATCTTTAGTTGATCGGCTGTTTTCAACAGTGACTGCAACACAAATAGCATACAATTGCAAATATATTTATTTATTCGTCTAGCAAACAATGTATTCGATTTTTCATTGATTAACTTTGCGCATTTCTCAATTTATACGATTCAAATCATAACCATTAGCAACGCTATCGACGAGAAACTAGCAATTAAATATTCGTTTAAATGGACAATTTTAGATGAAAGTCCGAACGATGGAATCAGCGCGGTTATTGGAGTAGTATTCGGAAACCAGACTGTTTTGCTTGGACGAGGCAGCATATAGGCAGCATATGCGAGATTCGTCGATTACATTGAGAATGAGATAAAAAAAAAAAAAAAAAAAAATAAAAAGTATAAAAAATCATATTTCGAAAAAAAAAAAAAAAAAAAAGAAAGAAAAAAAAAAAGGAGGCACGCGTAAAATAAAAATTCTGTAGTTCGACATAATAAAAGCTGCTTCCACGCGCAATAATTCAAATAACACAAACTCCAATTCAAAATTCCATTTAATTCTAAATTGTAAATTATACTATGAAATTCACGAGAAATCAAACAAAACTATCGAGTTCACGTGAAATCACACAGAATGAGATCACGCGAACAGTAATTCAAATAACAAACCTCCGTGCCAATTTCGTCAAACCTCAATTCAAAATTCCATTTAATTCTAAATTGACACGGAGATATATCAGAAAATCAGTTCCAGTAACAACCATCTTCCCCGTCTCCAGTGTCTAAAATTCTGACTGCAATTCCAGATTGAAATTCTCCGCTTGAGAACGACACAAACGATAAGATTCGAAAGAAAAAGCTTTCACTCTAATCTCATTAAACAGCTGAAACAACGCTGCGAACTTTAGTTCGCGAACTGGTCCCTTTAAATTCAAACAGCGTGGGACAATGAACGCGAGTAAAAAGATACTGCCCGGCGAGAAGCCGCTTGAATTTTCATTAAACGAGCCCCGAAAACAATCCTCTTTCGTCAACGTCTTTCCCATTCGAGCGAGAAAATTGTGGAAATCCTGAGATGGGGATCAGAGTTCGCGAGAGTTCTTCGCTTTAACTTTGCTACAGTCTTTCCCTCGATTGATTTTCGACTGACTTACAATATTTTTTAAATATAGTATTATTATTTTTTAAATGTAACATTACTTTTTTTTTTAATATTGAATTATCTCTTTTTAATATCATATTATTTAAATGTAACATTATTTTTTTTTTTGTATTAAATTATCTTCTAATATTATACTATTTAATGTTAAATTATCTCTTTTTAATATTGTATTATTTAAATGTAACATTATTCTTTTTTTTAATATTAAATTATCTTCTAATATTTTTTTAAATACTAGAACCATCAGAATGGTCAAAGGTGACCAATTTGTCACTTTTCATCGAAAGTTTCGTAGATCTGCAACAGTGGATTTTTCAATAATTTTTTTTTTTATAAAGTGTAGAAGTAAAAGGTAAAGGTTTTCGTAAATAAATTTTATTTGTTAAGAATTCCAAATTTTTAACTTACGATCAGAAAAATGACTCTCTTTCTATTTCGTGCATTTCAATTACTCTGATACATGTTTTATATATAAAAATATGTCAAGCGTGAACGAAATGTGAAAAAACTCTTATTAGTAGATTTCTTAGTTAAATTTTATCTGAAACGTCATTTTAAATTTCATTCTGAATTGAATTTTCATCACGTTTTTTATTGAAATGTTATCTCAATCATCTTCTTAAAATACTCTATTAAATTAAGTGTAAGACTCTATTAAATTAAGCACAAAAATTTGAGGATCGCAGAGAGATTAAAACGAGCGTCAGAAATTCTATTATAACATTAAAGAATATCTCAATTATATATCAACAAAATATGAACAAAATTCTTCTCATCTTCTCAAACATTCTGAATCTTTCTTCTCCACTAAATTGAATGTAAAAGTCGTAGCGAAAGTAGCAATATTTGAAGTATGAAGTACAAAATGTGGAAAAATTCACAGTCAACGTACATAAAATGATTTTTAATTAAATCGGTCAAATTTACGTTACGTTTTATAATATCTCCTATTTTTTTTTTTTTTTTTTACTAAATTGAATGCAAAGTTAAAGTGTAAAAATTTGAGTCTACCATAGTAGAGTAAGAAATAGATATAATTCGTGAGAAATTCCAAATATGAACAGAATACGAAAATGTTTTCACCGGTATATGCAATGATTTTTCACATTACGTTAAACATTCACAATTAAATTTTACATTACGTTAAACATTCTTCGAGGACGTTCCAAGTCTTTCTTCTCGGACAAATTGAACGTAAGATTGAAATATAAAAATTCGAGGATCGCGTCAGGGTTTAATAGGGTGATTCTCCGAGCTAGTAGCTAATAGCTCGAGACGGTTCGCCTGTGAAATCATGCAAAAGTAAAATTGTTTTCAGCGGGCGTGTCCTCGCATTCGGCCGGCTCTGCATCCTTTAAGTTCGAAGTTCTGCCCGTGTAATAAAAGTTTACGAGACGCTGTTCCCGTATCCACTTGCCAAACCATTTTGCCACTATTGTCTGGCGTGTTCTCTTCAACGGCGGTTCCAGCTGTCGTCTATCCCTGTTCTTCAACTTCAATTACGTTTACGATTTAGCTTCTAGCTGGAAAGTTAATTGAACTCTCTGGATATTCGAATCTTAAGGAATATTAATGTGAGATGAACGATGGTCTCGATAAAATTCTGCAATTGCATCAAGATATTTAAGATAATAATAAATAAATAATAAATTTATAATTAAAATATTTATAATAATAAATATTATTAAATATTTATTATAATAATTAAAATATTTATAATAATAAATTTATGTTAAAAAAAAATAGAATGTTTAATTCTCAGAGAATTCAAACATAGTAGTTTATTTCAAATTTTAATTAGTATTCTTGTTTGTTATACTTATCCAATCAGTGATAATCTTCTTTCTCACAAATTTATGCTTTCCTATTTCTATATCTTTTTACCATTCTTTCCACGTGATTATTATATGACACATTTCAATCTCAAGTATATCATGTAAAAAATTCGTCACTTTGAAAGTTTATGATATGATTTGCAACAATCATATCGAGAGTGAACAAACGATAAGCACATGAACAAGAATATTGTCGATATTTTAAATTAATGCAAATTTGTAAAAAAAAAAAAAAAAAGAATCGTCAGACAATCCAATAATTTCGTAGTATTGAATTTTTTCCAAAAAATATTTTTACATGACTTCAACACCATTTCAAGGAGGATACATTTACTTTCTCTCTCGTGAAGTTTGCAAATTCGAAATCCTTTATGGACAAAATTGAAAAAATTTTTTTTCGTAATTAAACCTACCTCGAAAACTAAAGTTTCCTCTTTACGACAACTTGAAATAAATTGATTTGTCGTACGGCAAATTTGTTTCTTTCTCGCAAAGTTACAAAATTTCAGAATATTAATAATCTTTCATCGACTGTACCAATATTTTCTAAACTCAATATATATTTTCGTCACAAAGTTACAAGAATTTGGAATATCGACAATCTTTCATCGACAAATACTTTTTGAGCTCACTGTACCTTTTTTTCGTTCGCAAAGTTACAAAATTTCAGAATATTAATAATCTTTCATCGACTAATACTACGATTACTTCCTAGTCTCAGTATTTTCATTGAAAAATGGCAACCTTTGCGAACATTTCGCATCCAGAACATTCAACACGCATTGATTGGGAAACTCTCTAGCATGCCATCGAAAGAAATAAAGAAATCCAACTCGACATATCTTGCCGCTGATCTCCTATCTCCACGTTGTTAATTCGACTAATTTCGCACTGAATGATGGTTGTCACGGGGCAGACAGCAACATTTATTTTGACATGCCGATTAGAAGGAACGATCGAACCGAAAAACAAGAACGAAAAAAAACAAAAAAGAAAGAACGAGGAAAAGAGATATATATATATATATATATATATATATATATATATATATATAACGTATGTTCGGGCTGACGTCGAAAGGTAATTAAAATACAGCGTGGATATCGCGCCGGATAATATTATCGAGCGTATGTAAATTGAAACACGATATCAGTTAGCGATACTGTCTGCAACGCATGTGCATTCTCATTACGGCTATATTAAGCTTGATTCAATTATACGATACACCGATTGCGCAACCGATCAACGAGCAACGCTTGAAAATTAACGATTAAGGCGATTTTCGTCGCGGACCGCGCGGAATAACGGTGAACGCTGTTGGAAAGGTGTGTAGAAGGAGAACACGCGATTAGGCGTTGAGAGATATTCTGTTCGTTGTGTATTTTGTGTGGCTACGTATTTTTGAGTTATTGAGATTTTTTTTTTATTAACTGTATTGTTTTTTATTAACTATAGTATATTATATTATGACGTGTGATACAGTATAGCGTATTATGTTTAGCATGGTGCAGGTTTGATTCGTGACAAATGTTATCAAAGTTAAATTTCCTTTATTTTTATTTCTAGAAAAAACATTATAACATTGCCAAATGTTAAATTTCCCTTATTTTTATTACTAGAAAAAAAAATTATAACATTGCCAAAAGTTAAATTTCCCTTATTTTTATTTCTAGAAAAAAAATTACAACATTGCCAAAAGTTAAACTTCCCTTATTTTTATTCCTAGAAAAAAAATTATAACATTGCCAAAAGTTAAACTTCCCTTATTTTTATTCCTAGAAAAAAAATTATAACATTGCCAAAAGTTAAATTTTCCTTATTTTTATTTCTAGAAAAAAAATTATAATATTACCAAAAGTTAAATTTCCCTTATTTTTATTTCTGGAAAAAAATATAACATTGCCAAAAGTTAAATTTCCCTTCTTTTTATTTTTAGAAAAAAATTTTCCTTATTTTTATTTTTATTTTTAGAAAAAAAATTATAACATTGCCAAAAGTTAAATTTCCCTTATTTTTATTTCTAGAAAAAAATTATAACATTACCAAAAGTTAGATTTCCCTTATTTCTATTTCTGGAAAAAAAGTATAACATTGCCAAA